AGGCTTTCCAAATTGTTGAACATTCTGGAAAGCCATATAGGACGCGAACGCGAGCTCTGGCATTAGAATTTTTTAAGCATATATCGTGAAGAGGAAGGGAGGTTTTTCATTTAGGAAATTTCATAATAGTAAGTTAGAATTTTGGCTAAATGCATTCAAGTGCGTTGAGCTGAATCCTCTTGCTGAAATCTCGCAAAGAATTCAGAATAGTTACTTTGAGGCCCATATGCATGGAAACCCCCCTAGTGGCAAAAAAAGAAGCGGCGTCCCCAATGATGAAAAGCCATAGCAGTGTTCGCCCGCGGCCTTTTTATGACAAGGGACGTCGCTTACTTCACCCTAGCTTTCATATGGGCCTTCTAAGGCAGTTCGTAGGGACAGTCGATGAGGAGGGCAGAGCCCCGGGTGAAAACAGCCATGAAAATGTACATAGCTGGGAAAAGCTTGCCGGGTTTGTGACCGCCACTTTGGTCAGAAAACTCTCGGATGTGAAAATTTGAGAGTATCCGAGGATTTTCGCAAATGTGAGAATGAGCAACTTTGGCAGCTACAGTTTATGGTGATAACGCTGAAACTTTGGCTCAAAACCGCACACCAACGCTTAGGGCTTGCGCTGCATTTCGCATTGCAAGAGGGTTCAAAGAAAAGGTGGGAATGGACAAGTCCTAACGCCGCAGACATGATGCAGAATCTTTGCGTTGCGCAGCTCATCACATCAATTTTGGCCTGATTCGGTGCACAGACTTTAAAGGTGTAAGGTGGCGCATTTTCTCAACAACATCTTTGGAGCTAGATTCGAAAGCGATTAAGTAAGATCAAAAGGATTTGAAAATGCGAGAAGACCGGTAGTTTGGGCAGTTTATAAAGGAAACATTTGGATGAAAATGGGGGAGGGGGAGGCCAGTTTGGCTCAGAACTCAGGAATGACAATAAAACGCGAGTTGCAAAGAAAGCTGAGAGGAAGCGATTAATTTATCACTTTGGTTAATGATGTAACTCGGTAAACCACTTAAGGCCCGGACAGACTTCACGCGATTTGATCGTCGCGACTGAATCGCGACGAGACAACTGTTACAACATCATTCCATGCCGATCAACTTGCATTTCGGTTGCGATACTTTTCCAGCCCGAAATTTTTGAATGTGAAATGAAAATCAATGGAAATGTCGGCGATTGAGTCGCGACGATCAAATCGCGTGAAGTCTGTCCGGGGCCTAAAGCAGGAGATCCTGACATTTAACTTTGATGATCCCCAAGTTCGTTGAGTGTCTCAGAAATCGCAATACTTTTGGAGGAGAAAAGGTTTCCACGCTCTAACTTTGAGAGTCATATCCCACTTCACACACACAGCCAGTCCAGAGCGCCGCGAAGCGGCGCTTCGGACTGGTCTTATATATAAAGCTGAATGTCTGTTTGTCTGTCTGTCTGTCTGTCTGTATGTCTGTACGTATGTTCCGAATAGAAAATTCCATTTCTGAACCGATCCGGACCAAACTTGGCACACATACACTAAGGGCCCCGGCGGGTGTCATAGGCTACTTTTCGTCATCGATCGATATCGATTTTATCGATTTTTATCGATTTTTTTGCTGAGTTCACCTACGGGGCTGGGAGTTGGCACAGGGGGGTAATCGAGCATGAGGATTCCGAGAACAATATTGGTTTTCAGGATTATCGATTACTTTTATCGATTTTATCGATTTTTTTGCAAAGTTTGAGCTACGGGGCTGGGAGTTGGCACAGGGGGGTAATCGAGCATGGGGATTCCGAGAACAATATTGGTTTTCAGGATTATCGATTACTTTTATCGATTTTATCGATTTTTTGCAAAGTTTGAGCTACGGGGCTGGGAGTTGGCACAGGGGGGTAATCGAGCATGGGGATTCCGAATACAATATTGGTTTTCAAGATTATCGACTACTTTTATCGATTTTATCGATTTTTTGCAAAGTTTGAGCTACGGGGCTGGGAGTTCGCACAGGGGGGTAATCGAGCATGGGGATTCCGAATACAATATTGGTTTTCGGGATTATCGATTACTTTTATCGATTTTATCGATTTTTTTGCAAAGTTTGAGCTAAGGGGGCTGGAATTTGGCACAGGGGTGTAATCGAGCATGCTGATCATCCCCAAGGGGGGTGATCAGCATGCTCGATTACACCCCTGTGCCAAATTCCAGCCCCCTAGCTCAAATTTTCAAAAAATCGATAAAAGTAATGGACGATCTTGAAAACTATTATTGTATTCGTAGCCTGCATGCTCGATTACCCCCCTGTGCAAACTCCCAGCCCCGCAGGTCAAACTTTACAAAAAAAAATCGATAAAATCGATAAAAGTAATGGACGATCCTGAAAACTAATATTGTGTTCGTAATCAGCATGCTCGATTACCCCCTGTGCAAAATCCCAGCCTCGCATGTCAAAATTTACAAAAAATCGATAAAATCAATAAAAGTAATCGATAATTCTGAAAACTAATATTGTATTCGGAATCCCCATGCTCACTTCCCCCCCTGTGCCAACTCCTAGCCCTGTAGGTGAACTCTGCAAAAAAATCGATAAAAATCGGTAAAATCGACATCGATCGATAACGAAAAGTGGACTGTGACACCCGCCGGGGCCCGAAGTGTATGTGTGCCAAGTTTGGTCCGGATACGGCGGAGCCGGGTAAGCCAGCTAGTATAGATATAAATACCGAACAGCCGCGATGCTGGTACGATCCCACAACCCCGCTCTGGTGCGAATTTGTGAGCCGACGTTACGTGCGTGAGAAAAATCACTTTTTTCAAACAAGCTTGTCGGATTTCTCTTGTACAGATTTCGTACTCTTCTGTAGCATTTTTGGATCCTACTTCTTCCTTAGAGCCTAAGTTTTTGGCATAGCCGAACCAAAAACTAAAGATTTTATCTGACAGCTAGAGCGCAGTTTAGATACATGGGCGGCGCTGCAGGTACTCTATAAACACAGCCGGGCTGCGACAGCCCATGATGCCCGCTATTAGACATTAATGAGTGCAAGATGTGGCAGTATTTACAGATGAACCTCCTAGATCCATTTTTCAAAACCTCGAAAGCGATCGCTCACTCATGCTCCTGTTGAGCATCATGCTCCTGTTAGCACTCAAAAGGTGGCTTACATCAGGGTAGCCGCTTGATTCCTGCGTCTTCGAAGCTGGCTAGTGGAAACGGTACCAGCAAGCTAATAAATCTATTTCGGTCCCAAAAAAGCAAGATTCATTACCTATGAATAAGAGTTGCTTTTTTGAAGCAAGCTAATCTATTAGGTCCATGCAAAAGTTTTGTCAGTTTTTTCAATCCATCGGCAAACGCGTTAGAATGATAAACTAACACTTCAAAATGTGTCCGACGCAGAATTTCTTCCTCTTTCTTGTTGCTAAACTAAAGTTGCTAAACTCACATTGTGTTTCGTTGCGAGAGTGACGAGATATTTGCTGGAAATTACAACCACTCGTTTTTACCTAATCCGTCGCTAATTTTCAAAATTTTTGCGACTAGAAAGAGGAAGAAATTCTGCGTTTCGGAGGAGCCCTAGTAACCAGCAGATAGGGCAAACCTTTTGCCAACAGAAGCAATTTTTTGTAGCCTTACGGCTTGTCTTTCAGAATTTCTACAATTTGTTTTTTGAAGTGACCAAAATTTATATTCAGCCTATTCCAACCTCGTAGAACATAAAATGTCAAAAACTTCAGTCACCATTCGATGCAACTTTTTCTCCTCCTTCTAACACTTGTCTTTTTTTGCCAAGGCAGGCGAAATTAGTGGGGAAAATCGCAGTATTTCTCTCAGGGGTGCGCACTGACAAACCCTAAACTCCAAATTCTTGTATTTTAAAGCAAAACTGCTCATTTACTTTGTAATGGTGGCGGTAGTAAAATCAAGTGTTGAAACCTTAGTATTCTGTAGGTTTTGCAGTGTTTGGTGCAATAACAGGTTATGCGATTTTTCCAAAACATAAGACTTTCGGAAAATTATTTAGCAAAAATCTGAAAAAGCAGCTGAAAAAAAGAAAAAAATTGCATAAGTTGGCAAAAGGTTTGTCCTATCTGGTGGTTGTTAGGGCTCCTCTGCATCGGATACATTTTGAAGTGTTAGTTTATCTTCATTCTAGTGTGTTTGCCGATGGATTGAAAAAACTGACAAAACTTTTGCACCGACCTAATATATATATCATCGAGTCATTTCTAACTTAATATGTGTAGTGCACACTAAGCACGCTGACTGACGAACTTCAAAACTAGAACCGGCTCATTTGCAGTGATTTCTCCTTGTTTCCTTGTCTCTTTTGTTTTTGTTGATCATATGCTAGTCAATAGAACACATTTCTACATATTGTCAGGCTAGAAAATGCTTAACTGAAAAGTTATAGGCCGTCCGCGCAGGGCGCGGAGAGTGCGCAAGGTGTGTATTGCGCGTCACTCCTCTTCCCCGTGCACTCTCGCCGCCTGTTTTTCTCTGCGCTCAACTATCTTCACTGGACGCAACAGCGTTGCTCTCCGCGCGCAGCGCGGACAACGTATACCAGTGAGGGACCGTCGCTAATAGTGTTTAGTGTGCATTCTCACATATTAAGTTAGAAATGACTCGAGGTTACATGAACTCAAAATTGTTAGCTTGAAGAGTATGTGCGTTATATGTAGAAACTAGCGCCGCTCAACCAATTGAGCTGAAAGTTTGTGTATGCATGTTTTCGACTCCTGCGCAAATAATAGGCTATTAATGATGTAAACGAGGGCAGTAGATCTCATTTCCACCTCAGGACCACGAGGAGAGGTTTGTGGATGTCACAGGCTAAGTCATCCAAAACATGGAAGTGGGGGGGGGGGGAAGATACCCCAATGCAGCAATCTTGCTGACAACCCATAGCATCTACCCCACGGCTAGCAATGGCCCTGGGGAGAGGGGGGGGGGGGGAACCGGGAAAGCCACCTAGTAATGAAAATGGGCGAACGCGAAACATATGTGGAACACCTCAACGGCAATGTCAAGCTAACATTTAGTGATAAGGTTTATGAAAAAGAGGCAATAATAGATGGAGAACATCGCTTCTTGGTCTTCTGCATGGCTGCCGGTGTCGGAATGCCCAGTATAATTTCTCCAAGGCGTGTGAGAAAATCGTACACAGGTGTAGGTGGAAATGAGAGAGGCGCATACCTGAAATGACTGACATGCTTATAATAAAAAACGAAGCTATCGTCTAATTTCTAGCTCATATTTTATATATAAAGCTGAATGTCTGTTTGCATGTATGTCTGTATGTATGTCTGTATGTATGTCTGTATGTACGTATGTTCCGAATAGGAAATTCCATTTCTGAACCATCGGGACCAAACTTGGCACACATACACTTCGGGCCCCGGCGGGTGTCATAGGCTACTTTTCGTCATCGATCGATATCGATTTTATCGATTTTTTGCAAAATTTGAGCTACGGGGCTGGGAGTTGGTCGATAAAATCGACATCGATCGATAACGAAAAGTGGACTGTGACACCCGCCGGGACCCGAAGTGTATGTGTGCCAAGTTTGGTCCCGATCGGTTGAGAAATGAAATTTTCTATTCGGTTTTACGGCGGAGCCGGGTAAGCCAGCTAGTTCATTATAAACATATGAGTATTCGATAACTATGTGTCCGTTGATGATCTCTAAGGACGCTTTTGTAGAATTGTCTGCGGCATCTTTGCGGACTTTGTACCCTTTCGGTTTGACAAACGTCAATTGCACGGCTATCCAAAACACATATGTAATTCGTTGCAGCAAAAGTTCCGCCTTTTCCTAAATCTACCTGATCCGCTTGTAAATGATACATATAGAAAAGTATGCCTAGACATAAAGCATCATATTAAGAAGTATCTGGCCAATAGGGAAAGGCATTTTGCTAAGGCTGGTGTTAAAAAACTCTATGCTTATATTAAACTATGCAGCAAAGGGCAACAAAAACTTCCGTTCCTTTTGGATAATGACAACAAACTTCTTAGAAGTGATAAAGAAAAAGCTGTTGCTTTGGCAGAGTTCTTTGCTGGAACCTTTACACATGGAAATGACAGGTTTGGTAAAAAATGCCAGCGCAACCTCTCCATAAACGTCATATTCACGTAACCCTTCCAGCTGTAGTGATATTCAAATATATCCAGAACTTTTGCTCAAAGTGCTGAAAAGGTTAAGAGCAACGGTTTCTGTCACATACGATGGAATTCCACAAATATTCTATAAAAGGTGTGCTCGTTCTCTATGCTCTCCTTTGACATCTATTTTCAATGCTCTCTATCAATGGGCCAAGTTCCCCGGCTATGGAAAAATGCGCTGATAACTGCAACCCCGAAAAATCCCACTTGCAATACTTTATCCATTTCCGTCCTATAAGCATCACTCCGCCTTGTGGTAGGATACTTGAAAAATTTGTCAAGGAAAGGCTAGGGGACTGGGTACACAAAAATCATGTGATACCCTCAGAACAGTATGGCCCACTCGGAGGATCAACCACTGCTCTTCTTTCTGACTCACTTTTTGACTGGATTACTGCAATGAATCAAGGCAAATCAACTGATATCGTTTACTTCGATCTATTCAAAGCCTTCGATAGAGTCAACCACTGCAAACTATTATTCAAGCTTGAAAAAATAGGAGTACGTGGTAGGCTACTGGCATGGATTGACTCGTATCTCAATGAACGCAGAATGAGTGTACGAGTTGGGACTATTCGGATGAGTATGTTTGTGGTAGTGGTGTTCCTCAGGGTGGAATTCTTTCATCGCTTCTTTTTCTAATCTATACAGCTGATCTACCTGCCTTTGTTAGAACACATCCAAATATCCGCGTACAAGCTTTTGCAGATGACTTCAAGATTTACTCTGCTTATGCCAAGAATGAACAAACTGGAGCTCATGAAGCCCTCTCTTCGTCAATTGAAAAGATGGTATCATGGTCAGTGAAATGGGATTTGCCGCTCAATCTTTCCAAATGTTCTGTGATGCACTTGGGCGATGCTCCTTATAGGCCATATTGCTGTGGGGGTGCTGTTCTTGAGCGTCGGGACATTGTGAAAGATTTAGGGGTTATAATTGATAGTGCACTCAAGTTCTCTAACCATTACGACTCAGTCATGAATAAATCACTGGCATCGTTGTCCATGCTTCTGAGAAACGTGCACAGCAACAATCCCGCTTTATTGGTGCGATTGTATAAAACTTATGTTTTACCTCACCTTGATTACACTTCACCCGTTTGGAGTCCATTTCTTAAGAAGAATGCGATGAAACTTGAGAGAGTACATAAAGTATTTACTCGAATAGTTTTTTATAGATGTTTTCCCAGTACTGATTACCCGCGTTGTTTACCATCTTATAGCGAAAGGCTTACCACTTTGAAGCTGCGTAGTCTAAAATAGAGGCGCGTTATAAATGATTTGGTTTTTTGTTTCCGAATTTTGCATCTGGAAAGTAGACTAAAAGCAAGTAAATACTGGGTTTTCAGACCGTGAACTTACTACTTTTGTCTTTCAAAAAAATTAGCTTCTATAGATGTGTTACGAGCGTTGCATACCCCTGATGTTTAGGAGTCCAATGCTTGGTCTTCTTCTAGCCTTCCAATTGCAGTCTACTACACCCTGCTTCTTGCCAGATCGAGTAGCATAGATTGATCAGTTTCTGCCTTATGCGTTGGTGTTACTAACCATGATTATGCTTTCGCTAACCAACCACTCCGTCGTGCCTTCACGATGTTCTCTTTACAGTTCCAAGTCACACTAAAATCTAGCCCCTGACCTTGGAGCACATCTTTCTATTACAGTTAAAAAATCTTGCTTCTCAATATATCTTTATCGGGGACAAGTCAGCTAGCTTTACCGGCGGGCTCGCTGACACCCAAAAACTGGGTCATCAGGATTTTAGAGTAAGCAAGGTCCAGATTCTTTCATCTAGATTGATTTCCTGTAGTTCCGCAGCGAAGTATATGTGCACGTCTTAAGATCTAGGGCTCTTTGGCTTATATATGGATAAGGATCTAGCTCTAGCTCGAGTGACGTTGGTTTCATGTTTTTTTCTCATGTTCGTTCTCATGTTTCTTCTGAATTTTTAATTTTTTTATCTATTAGGTGCACCATGAGTGTATTAGAAATGAAAATGAAAATGAAATAAACGACTTACAAGAGAATGCTGTCCCAGTTTACTTGATATCGTGATCTCGGATATACCGCGGTTAAAGCGTGGAAGTAAGCATCAGTGACCAAGTCGATCCTGTTGCTGCTTATAAAATTCAGCACAGATGGAACTTTTTGGCGCACTGAGATGATAGGCTATTTTTGGAATCAAGTCAAAAGCTGAAGTAAGAAAAACCTACTTTCAAGGAAAAATTCTCTCCCATATTCCTTCTTGGTTTCTTCTGGACATTTACTGTAGAGCTCATCAAGCTCCCTCTGGAACTTGCAGGATAGAAAATGCATTGTTAGCATTTGTTTCCGTGTTTTAGACCAGGCGTTGTGCGCCAAAATGAAATTACGATAGCGTCTCTAGTTATTTTTGTAGCAGTGTTTTTGCCTCTCTAGGAGAAAAAAGAAATTATTTTCAACTTTGCTCAAAGAAATCATAAAACGCAACAAAAACAACTCAGTAGTGTTTGTAAGGCGCTTTTGCATTTATTTCCTACAAACTGGGAGTGGGCTACTATGGTTGGCTGGGTAAATGGACGTTGAACAGTTTCACTCGACATGTCCATTAGAGGGAATTAACTTATGGTTTAGTCCACACGATATCTGTTTGTGTCATACTCTGAATAACCGGAGGCCTCCCGGTGCAGACGTGAGAGAAACTCGTTTTAGTAAACTTAACTGCACTATCAATCATATACATATACAGTAATTTTCATTCTTTAGGTCATATCGCAGCTATGCTTATGGTTATTTGAGAACAAGTTCTTAACTAATCGACTAAGAAAAAACTTTTAACTTAGAAGGAAGTGAACGAATCGGATACCACGAGCCTCTCTTTTTCTCCTTAACTGCACTTTCGGACGGGATCAAGAAACTCATAATGGAATGGCTTCAAACATTTGAGTACCCTAATTTCAGGCTATAAGACGCACCTTTTTTGGTTTTTCAAGCGTGCCGCTCAGCTGCCTGCCTCGCTGTGTTTCGGAAAACGAGATTTATGCCGCACGATACTCTTAGGTAATATGTAGCACTGTGTATAATTTTTGGGTCGTGAAGTCCATTGGTGTGTCTGTGCTGTTTGATCTTAGGAAAAAAAACTCTGCGTCTTATAGCGTGAAATTAGGGTACAACAGCTGTGCAATCATGCGACAACGAAACCGGCATTAAAGTTTTGCAGCAAGGGTGATCTAGAAGTTGTCAGACTAAGAAGAAGTTGCCTTGGCAAATCATGAAGACATTTATACCACCACGAACGCTTTTACATGTAAATCATATTCGCCTTGCATATGTGCGAAACTACTCGGGAAAATTTATGACTGTCCAAATTGAGCAGCTGTAACCTCTATGAAGGGGATTTCTGATAATTGTATTTTTTTGTAAACGGTACACTCGATACTAATCTAACTCTTGGGCTAAATTTTGATGCACATCATCTAAAGCTGCAGAAAATCCGCAGATTTCGAAATTTCATAAAGTCGACTGCACGAGGTTGCCCGGGTCGTTGTAGGCTGACACGCGAGCGTGCCTGCAACGCGTCTGCCGAGTATAAGCGCTATGATGACTCATGCGCGCGAATATGAAGAGCCGTTCCGTACCAAAGTGTTTCTGTTAAAGGCAGCGTCCAGGCAAATCTGGACATATGGGGTTCTGATGTGGAAAGTAATTTTGGAGCCTTAGCTAAGACATTGCTCAAGCGGCAGCTCAAATGGTGAATTCACAATTGAGATATTCGACTCCAAACTGGACCCCGCAATCGTATTCGCTTGGATTCATGGCGCGACACATCAGGACCCACGCGTGTCGCGCCTTGAATCCATGCGAATACGATCGCGGGGTCCATTTTGGAGGCGAATATCTCAACTGTGAGTACACCATTTGAGTTGCCGCTTGAGCAATGTCTTAGCTAGGACTCCAAAATTACTTTTCACATCAGTGGCCGTATTCATCAACGAACCCTGAGGGTTAAACTAACCCTGCAGGGTTAATTTAACCCTGGAGAGCGATTAACTCGTATTCATGAAACACAGGGTAAGCTTAACCCTGAGGGTTAAATCTAACTTTGAGGGTTAATTTTACCCCGAAAGCGACTAACCCGTATTCATCAACGAATAGTGAGGGTTAAACTAACCCTGGAGGGTTAAACTTACGTGATTCATCAGGGTTAATTTAACCCTAGCTTAGAGCAAGGTTAACTCTACCTTGACACTTCATACAAACATTTACTCGCATCTAATAGTTTTATAAAAAGCGATCAACGAGTATTGTAGTATTCAGTATTAGATTGTTGTTATACTATTTAGGTTCAACTTCGTTTTATGTTCAAATTCGAAGTACATGAAACTGAGTTCGCGAGAAAAAGAATTCTAGCTTTGGAGACAAATGAATGCGACGAGGAAAAATGGTTGCGCATTCCACTTTGACAAGTGCTAAAACAGAAGAACCACTTTATGATAACACGCACTGACCCCTAAAAGAGTAGCACAAGCCCGGTACGAACTGCGCAAAAGTAGAACTTACATGATACAATTGCACACATGAAAATAAACTCACGCTGTAAGTTTGGATGCTGCACAAATATGCTAGAGATGTATTATAAAAACTAGTGTTAGAAGCTTATTCGTTGATTATACTACTATAACAGTGCAAGAATGGAAGTATAAAGTGACTTTAGCACGTACTTAGGCATTCTGTGATGTGAGTTTGCACAGCGCACGCGTAACTGACGCTTTTATCCTCAGGGTTAGTTTAACCCTCAGTGGCCGTATTCATCAACGAACCCCGAGGGTTAAACTAACCCTCCAGGGTTAGTTTAACCCTGGAAAGCGTTTAACCCGTATTCATGAAACACAGGGTAGGCTTAACCCTGAGGGTTAAATCTAACCTTGAGGGTTAATTTTACCCCGAAAGCGACTAACCCGTATTCATCAACGAACCGTGAGGGTTAAACTAACCCTGGAGGGTTAAACTTACGTGATTCATCAGGGTTAATTTAACCCTAGCTCAGATCAAGGTTAACTCTACCCTAACACTTTATACAAATATTTACTCGCATCCAATAGTTTATGAAAAACGATCAACGAGTAATGTAGTATTTAGCATTAGTTGTTGCTATAGTATTTAGTTTCGACTTCGTTTTATGTTCATATCCGAAGTACATGAAACACTGACTTCGCGAGAAAAAGAATTCTAGCTTTAGTGACAAATGAATGCGACGACGAAAAATGGTTGCGCATTTTACTCTGACAAGTGCCAAAACTGGAGAACCCCTTTACGATAACACGCATTGACTCCTAAAAAAGTAGCACAAGCCCGGTATAAAACGAACTGCGCAAAAGTAGAACTTACACTGCACAATTGCACACATGAAAATGAACTCACGCTGCAAGATTGGATGCTGCACAAGTATGCTAGAGATGTATTATAAAAACTAGTATTAGAAGCTCATTCGTTGACTATACTACTATAACAGTGAAAGAATAGAAGTATAAAGTGAATTTAGCCCGTACTTAGGCATTCTGTGATGTGAGTTTGCACAGCGCACGCGTAACTGACGCCTTAACCCTCCAGGGTTAGTTTAACCCTCAGGGTTGATGAATACGGCCACAGGTTCGTTGATCGATACGGGTAGATCGCGTTCCGTGGTAAACCCTAGCCTATGGTTGATGAATACGGCCAATGAACCCTGAGGGTTAAACTAACCCTGGAGGGTAAGCTTAACCCTCAGGGTTCGTTGATGAATACGGCCACAGGATTCATTGGCCGTATTCATCAACCACAGGGTTCGTTGATGATTACGGCCACAGGTTCGTTGATCGATACGGGTGGATTGCGTTCGGTGGCAAACCCTTCCTATGGTTGATGAATACGGCCAATGAACCCTGAGGGTTAAACTAACCCTGGGGGTTAATTTAACCCTCAGGGTTCGTTGATGAATACGGCCACAGAACCTCGTATGTCCAGATTTGCCTGGACGCTGCCTTTAATACATATGCCCCAGTTTGCCGTGCGATTTAGCATGGTTTGCTAGGCTTCTTCATTTAGAGTTGACCTCGTGTCAGTCTGTGCTAGCGCAGCGTACTGATCGTCCAGCGGAGCTGGCACTGCCTTAGGTTATCGTTGGCTCTGGGTGCAGTCCGGGTGTCGATTTTTTCTTACCTCAACATTCTCAGCGCTAATCAACCAAGTCTTGACGAATCCTGGCTCTATGATATGCACTGAAACTCCAAACATACGCAGCTCAGCTCTGAAACAGTCCTTGCAAATAGTGGACTTGATACAACTAAATTTCACCTAATAACTTCACAGTATCCGGTTAATGCAAACTTGGCCACTGTGTAGGGACCAATTCCAGGGAATCCGATTCGCGAGAATCCGCTCGTTACAGTCACTATTCGACCCCTGCAAAGATAAAATGCATTTTGGCTATTTTAGCTGGCTCGGAGAACCGGCCATAGCATTCCAGGAGGTAATTCCTGCGATTCCTATGTTTCCTGCAATTTCTGTGATTCCTCAATGTCGATGCGCTTTGCGAATTTCAGTACACATTGTTTTTCGCAATATACATTGTTGCGGGACCGGCAAAAATCACAGGAATCGCAGGAATCGCAGGAATCACAGAAATAGTATGGCCGGTCCCGAACACATGCGCACTACCTGGTTTTCTTCACCAAAGATTTCAAAGCGTGAGTCACTCGGATCACACCCCATGTGTTGACTTCTGCCACATTCTTATAGTCTTCCAAAGTAAGGAAATCGTCGAAAAAGGTGTTGCCGAGAATGCCAGCGTTATTAACAACTCCGTGCAAACCTAAATAATTGTTGGTGATTAATGGAAGACTCTGAAACACTTCTTATCTAAAGAGCGCTAATCTAAGGGCAGCAAGATCCCGCATTCAAAACAACAAATCACAACTTTTTTACCCGTGAGACCAGGGCTCGGCACAGGTGGCTTGTAAGGCAGCTGCCGTTTTTTGGGACGAAAAGCGAAGGGGGTTTGGTTTTTGTGACCGAAGAGAGACGCAAAATTGGCGACTTGGCGACGTTTTTTTAGTCTTTTTTAGTCGACGTTTCGTTTTTTGGGGAATTTTTCAGGTTTTCAGAGGAAATTTGGTTGAGGGTCAAAGGGGACTTCGTAAAAATTCCCAAAAGTCAAGGGGAACTTCGTTTTTTTTCCATTTTCATCCAGCCACCTCGTGCCGAGCCCTGCCTGAGACTATTTTAGGTTCATAGTTAGACAAGCAAGCTTTCTTTGATGGTCGGCCTAAAATGATAATCTGCAGAGCTAATTTAATCCCCTAGGGGTATGATGAAATTTTTTTCGAGGTAAAGAAAATCTTACCTCCGTACTGCTCCGTCTTCAGTTCCAAGTATCTCTTTGCATTGGCGACGCTATCATCCTTACTGACATCCACGATAAATGCATCAATAGGAATGCGAAAGTTCTCTGATAGTTCCCGGTACTCACTTATAGACTAGAAATTGAAGTTCCTGGCTTCGAGTGTTTTGGTTCAATTCATTACCTTCTCAAGCAAGCATCCAGCAAATACGGGCATACCTTTTTTAGCACATCGTATAGCCAAATCTCTTCCAAAACCTGCAACAAACTCTTCAATAATGGAAGACCAAAATTCATTAGTCAGTGTAAAAGGCAGCACTCTTTGTTTATCAGTAAAATTCTTTGGCAATCGCTCAATAGTAAATTAAACTTTGAAAAAAGCAGCTTCTGCACCCACCACTATCGCATCCGGTAATAAATACAGCTCTAGTCTCGAGATTTCCGATCTCAAATCGTTCAATGAACCACCGGAAGATCACATAAAATATGAATGCTATACCAAAAGCAAGAAGCAATGTCCCCACTTCCATATGAACACCTGACATTTGGCAAATTCTAATATCGTGTATCAAATATGATTCTCATTAACTAGCTAGTTTAGAAAATTCAGTTTCCGAATTATCTAAACCACAAGTTTGAGGGAAAATGAGACAGATTTTGAATGTTAGAAAGAAGTATATTAAAACTTCTATCTTTCGTCTTGTTGACCGATTTCTGAATTTGAAAAAATCGAAAACTGGTCAAATGATACAGAACACACTACTTTACACCACTGGTTTGTGGTTTGTAAGATGAAAGGCAAATACAAGTTAAAAAAAACTATCACATGAGGAACTCTCTGTCCCTAATTCTACTTAAACTGAAAATTAAAGACAAAAAAGAACATATTAGGTTGGTCCGAAAGTTCTGTCCCACCATTTTCAAAAAAGCGTAACTTCTTCCTAACATGATGTTTTTGCAAGGGTCAAACCATATTAGAAAGAGCAATTCATGTACTTTCTAAAACTTAGTTGGCTGCTATTCATTAAGCTCTGAATGCAGAGATAAAATTGGGGAAAGGAATTCATTTCAATTTAGGAATTTTTAAGCAAGCCCGTTAAAAAATCCAAAAGTGTGCCTTAAAATCCAAAACAGCCAGTATTCTAGGTTTCTTGATCCCCTCTTTCCAGCTGAGTAAAATTTGTGCTAATCGAGCTTTCTTGAAAGAAGTTATGATTTTCAAGAAAAAATGCTAAAGAAATCAGTTTCTTAAGAAAATTGGTTTTTTGACATTTTTTTCAAAAAATCATAACTTTCCGAAAAACAGCTCGATCAACGCGAACTTTGTTCAGCCAGAAAGAGGGGGTAAAATAGTCTAGGATAGTGGCTGTTTTAAATTTTATGGCACTGTTTTGGATTTTTTAACGGCCTTGCTTAAAAATTCCGAAATTGAAATGGATTCCTTTCCCCAATTTTATCTCTGCTTTCAGAGCTTAATGAATAGCAGCCAACTCAGTTTCAGAAAGTACATGAATTGCTCTTTCTAATATGGTTTTATTCTTGCAAAATCATGTGTTAGGAAGAAGTTGCGATTTTTTGAAAATGGTGGGACAGAACTTTCGGACCAACCTAATATATTTGAAAAGGCCAAGAATCTTTCGAAATTTACCAGACGTAATGATTACTAAAGCAGCTCTATATACGACTATCAAATTCTAAGAAATTGTTGTTAGGAAAGTCCGAAAGAAAATTGCACTAAGACTGTTTTGAAGGCAACGGTTACTGCTGGAAGGAAATGCGTTGGGACTGTAAAAAGGAAACAATAATTAACTCTTCTGGAAGTTACACCTAATGGAATCAATTTGTTCAAGTTGAATTGCCCAAAAAATTGGTCCCCTCCAATAAACAATGTTTTTACTAGCAGAAATGGACTTTCTGTACTGATCAGAACGAGAACTTGCCTCATAACAATAAGATAATAATCTCTCCTCGCAAAGAACAGCCTTTTCCCAAAAAGGTCGTGTGCCGTCTCAGTCTGGAATCTGGAACTACTTCGGCATCAAATGCCTTACACTCAATTAAACAACCTTTTTACACAGAATATTGAATGATTTATCTCATTTGAATTCTAACGTCAAAACCATAGCAGTCTCTAGCATAGCTGTACATATTTGGTCTAGAGGATGGTTTTCTATCATTGACATTCGAGTAGCTGAAATAAAGCTCATCAACCATAAAACCCTGCTCATCAAAGATTCAAAAAAAGCAACTCATTAGCTAGGAGCATAAGAAAGTTTTTCGCTGGTGATGTTTCGTTATAAGAAGGGAGTTACTAAGCTGATTACTAATGCAGGATCACTTTTTCAAAGCCTTCTCCGGCCATGCTGCATTCTACAGTTGGAGATATACATACTAAAAAGGGGAATTTTTATGCAGTCTTGAACAGCAATGGGTATTTTTTTCATATCGATCAACAGCTCAAAATTTTATGGGTTAAACAATTAGAGTTTGAAATGGGAGAAAAAGCATAGATCAATGGAGACAAGGTAATAAGGTGACTACGCCTGAGAGTAGGTATAGGCTGTATCAACCAGCATCGACCCCGCACTGGTATATTTGCGGGAACGCACGGTCGTACTGCAACGTGCCTTGAAGGCAGCGTCCAGGCAAATCTGAACATACGGGGCTCTGTTGTGGAAAGTAATTTTGGGGCCCACTAAGACAATGCCCAAGCGGCAGCTCAAATGGTCAGCTCACAGTATAGAGATATTTGCCTCCAAACTGGACCCCGGGATCGTATTCGCATGGATCCATAGCCGACGCGCGTGGGTCCTCGCGCAAAACTGATGTGTCGCGCCATGAATCCATGCGAATACGATCCCCGGGTCCACTTTAGAGGCGAATATCTCAACTGTGATCTCACTATTTGAGCTGCCGGTTGGATAGTGGCTTAATTAGGGCCCCAAAATTACTATCCAAGTGAGATCCCCATATGTCCAGATTTGCCCGGACACCGCCTTTAAAGGCAATGTTCGGGCAAAAAGTCGATTTTGAGTTTTTGCGTTCACCTGGGCCTATTCGCTATGCTGCATTCGAAGATCCACACTGGAGAGCGCGAAAACGGCGAAAAGGGACTCTAACGCAGGGGGGAAGTCAGCAGGTGGGCGGGGTCTTCAACATTGCGAATTCACGCTCCAGCTTCAGGAGTAATCTTTTCGATTCCTCTAGCCGCCTTGACATGGCCACGGACCAAATGCAATCGCGTGATTTGGAATCGGATTCAAGAAAATCGCTTCGGAAGCTGGGAGCATGAATTCACATTCACAATTCATAAAATCTCAAAATTGACTTTTTGCCCGGACACTGCCTTTAACACTTATTGTTAGCAGAGTCCGCACGCGTCACACCGCATCGTTGCTTGCCGTAGGCGCGACGTCGCATAACCGATGCTGGTTGGTATAGCCTACACATACACATGTAAGGCCTCGGGCAGAGTTCACGCGATTTTGATTGTCGCGATTGATCGCGACAAGACAACTGTAATAAATCATTGCATGCCGATCTTCTTGCATTTCAGTTGTGATAGTTTTCCAACACGATTAATCGTGACTGACCATCACAACCGAAATACAAGAAGATCGGCATGCAATGAACTCGTAACACTTGTCTTGTAGCGATTAATCGCGACGATCAAATCGCGTGAACTCTGCCCGAGGCCTAACACAGCCTGAAGTCATGAATTGGAGAAATATTGCCGTATGAAAAAAGTCTGAAACTTATAAAAGTAACAAGGGAACGGAAAAGTTCAATAGCCGGGATTTATGATCAGCGCTGATCACAGCTGCATTATGGGGGTCGGAAACAAGTTCTCAATAATACAGTGATGCATGGTAGTGAAAAGTTGAAAAGAGTTGGTAAAGAGAACAGAGTAGATTTTGACTCACATTCTTTACGCGCAATTAATGGTACAGCATAGCAGATTATGTAATGAAAAATTGGTTCTAAATAAACTGAATACTCATTTTGTTCCCGATGAAAATTATCTATTGATCTTCTCGTTAAATCATGGTTTACTGTTTGAACAACATCAATGTGTCACCAACTATGGTTTTTCCCCTATGTTGAATTGCTTTCCCTAATGCAGTTCATCATCGTTCCTGGAACGAGTCCATGAGTCCATGAAGAAACTTGAGTTATATGATGTAAAGTAAACGAAGGAATGAGGAGATGGTGGCAGAATATTGGAAATGGCACGCCGTAGGGATGCTTCGTTACGTCTTAACGATAATTCATTTTGTCAAAATAAGGTAGGATTCAAAACGCCACACCAAGAGCACATCAAACGGTCACTACTTCAGCAAGGATTTTTGACATTTCACTAGTCGTGGTTTTTAAAAGATAAATGCCCTACGAGATTTACAGTCAATACGCTGAAAAGACATTATATAAACAATTTTGGATCCATACTCGAAATGTGCGTTACTGATAATACAATATAGTATTTACAATAGTTTATTAGAAGAAACAGGTACAAGTTCTGCTCATAGTTTGCCAAAAAGGACACTGGAGTTTTGGATTCAGAATTCGTTCCCACTGAACCAAGATAGGGCGAGGAGGCGCGGATTTCGGTGAACTACGAATACAGAAGTTGATGAAGTTTATAATGAAGTTCGGTGACATTCCTGATGAATCATGAGCGGTAATGTACTTGTTTGTCCTATACGCGGAGCTTGAAGAAAAGTACAGATCAAAAAGAAACGATGATATAGAAAAGCTGAAAAATGGAGGCAAGATATCGAATATTTTACATCGAATTACATTTCAAATCAATCGAATTTTTTCTTATGCTGAAGAAGTTACTAAATAGTACACATACTTTCCTTAGCAGTCACTTTTTACAATGCAAGAACACCACCGATTAGTAGATTCCTATGTTATCGGAGGGCGTCGTGATGTCGGTCAATGTCTACAAATTTTGCTAGCAGTTACAAAGCGGAAATTCTGATTCACTATGCTGAAGCAAAATATGAAGAATACTCTAGGTAAGCTCTAAAATCTCGTCTCCTTTTGTGCATTTTCGCACTTCTACGAAATTGATTTTTTTTTGTTGGAAGATTCAATTACGTTGAAAAAAAAAACATAAGAATTCTACTTTTCTACTGGACCCACTCAATGAGAAAGTTCGTGAAAATTTATCGAGGTATGGAACAAGAGCAACTGTAGTGGTATAACTCAAAAATGCAGAAGAATTTCTAGAACCCAGTAAAATAAACGAAATTATTGTTGCCGCTCACACATATGATACCCATCGAAGAAACTTGTCTAATCATCAACAGAGAAAAAATGAAGTATCCACTTCGCTTAGTGCTCAGATATAATTCTCACTAATCTTGAGTATGGAAACAGACTACTTATTTTCTTATATACTCAACGCAGATTAAAAATAAGAATGTTAGGGTCATTAGTGCCGACTCTTACAGACCCAAGGCTTTTGACTGAGTCACTTGGGTGAAGCTATATATGGGTAGAGCTTACTGCTTATATCTCCTCTTTTGAATTTTAGTGCAGAATATATCCTCTGCTTGCTTATCAAAGTCCATATAACTTTATTTATGGTTGTGTTACCTACGCATGATTTATTCTATTATTTATATCTCCCAGTGTCTGACTGCGTTGCCAGACTATATCAATTCTAGGCGCTATTTCAGCCAATTTGAACTAGAAGGAAGACTATATTCGGATTCAATACACCAAGAGCCATTGAAAAAAAAGCTCAGATCGTTCCTGCCACTTCCATGAATTTTACATTCCTTAATCAATGTGGGCTTCTCTAATCGCTTGAAAAAAGTTTTCGCAGAAAGAAAGACGGATATTTGTACTTGGTGCTTTTATAAATAGTATTTTTCCTCAAGATTTATTCGGAAGTCTAACCGCAGCGAAAAATACAGAGCTTGATATGGGCTGGTGTGGATGTCAAACCATTTTTGCAAAGTTATTCTCCAACTGACCTTGTCGTTACCAAAAGAAGTCCTTCAGGCTATTAATATGAAATTGCTTCATAATATTTTTCACTAACTATCTCATTCTTAAAAACTCACTTTTAGATTTGCGGGCCATCGTAACATGGCAACCATTTACATCCATGTGTTATCTATCGCTCTCTGTCTTTCCGCCGGGTTTCAGCAGGGTTACATAGCTTCTGTTCTCAACCAGCCGTACCTAGAGATCACTAAATTCATCAATGATTCTTGGATGGAAAGATATGATGAGCCTCTGCAAAGAAACATTTTGGTGAGCCAAAACAGTGACTTTTGATTTTTGACGTCAGGAAGGTGCAGCGGACTTGGAAAAATGTGACAAACGATTTTGGCTGGTTTTTTGAAATTTTGCGATTTGGACTCATACGCAGCATAACAGGACCAAAGATCTCATTCAGGTGACTTCGAAGCATCCTAACTATGCAGATTTCAGGATATGCTATGGTCATTCCTAAACGTTTGCTTTCCAATCGCTACCATCGCTGGGCAATTTTTGGCCGCCTACTTTTGTGATCACATCGGACGTAAAAATACTGCGCTTCTTGCCAGTGCAATCTATATCCCAGGAGTACTGCTTTGTACGGCATCAAAGGATTATTACCCATATTTCGAGCAGCTGTTCATTGGAAGAATATTATGGTAGGCAAAAATTTCGTAAATATCGTCGATTTAGTCAAGAATTTTAGGTCTCTGGCCAATGGAATCAACACAGTGAACGCCACAGTTTGGATAATTGAGTGTGCTCCGACAAGGATTCGCGGACGAATGTCAGCCATGCAAGAATTTTTCCTCGCATTTGGTTAGTGAAAAAAAAAACATCCTAGTGACGATTATACACATTCAGGATCGCTCGTGACTCAAGCACTCGGGGTACCGTTTTCGAACGAAAAGCTGTGGCCTTTAATTTTTGTACCAAACCTCGCATTCGTCTTTGTATCGATGGCAATGTTTGCTTTCGTATATGAATCACCCCAGTATATTTTGGAGAAGTATGGCGATGAGGATAGGGTTAGTGAGACTACAGAGAGAGCTTGTAGAACTCAAACACATACTTCGACAAAAGACATTGCCTAGGCACCATTTTGAGAAAATACAAGAAGTCAGATGTTATTTTAGGCAAAACTAGCCTTAGCAGCCTATTACGGAGTAAGCATTACCGACAGAACACTAATGACCGAGATAGCAATTTGTGAGAACTGTGCAAGGGAGCATGAACAAACTAAGGTAACTTCTCTCTTTTTATACTCTCAGATTAATCTGCGGAGTAGGATTAGCCCTGAACCCTTGCTGGGTTCTTGACTTGAATACTGTCTAGGCTATGCCAGTTTGGTGGGAACCAAGTGTCGTAGGCGATAGTGGTGTCGATAATAATTTATCCACAGACGAACCCGGTGTTGAACCGGGGAGCAACCTCTAATACATTCGGGGGCTCCTTATATAGCTAGTAAGGCGGAGCTGACCCGTGCACAATCAGACTGTCCAGGAAATATATGCAAAAAAGAGGATGCCGCGGCTTGGCGCGGCCCCTGGAAGATAGGTGCCACTCACTGGTGAGTGATTCGGCACTTAAATATAAGCGGTTGGGGAATATAGCCTGTGGGGAATACCCGTGAGCTATTAAGACTATGGAATTGTTGAGGTTGATGATACATAAATCATCAACACTCCGGGCGAGCAAGGAGGAGGCGAAATGTGTTAGAATGTAAATAGATAAATACAAAAACCTCCTAAAAGCATTCGTACTTAGAAATTGAGATACAGCTGTGTTCATGAGTATAAGCTATTAGATCAGTTGTCGAGGTTGATGATTCATAGATCATCAACACTCTGGGCGAGCAAGCAAGAAGTTAATCTGGTAAGCACAAGATACAACAAATGCGTAGATTTGTATAGACTTAGACATATTAATAGAGGCTATAGACGGAAGAGAGTTTACGGTGAACAGTTGTAGTGGTTGCCCGTTGCTGTTCCGTAGTATGGCTTCGCCTTTCGTCGTCGTCTCTTCTTCCTCGTCGGTTCTGCTCTCGTCAACTTTGTGTTCACAGAATCGTTATCGGTGATTGTCTTCGTGATAGCCGGCTTTTTCGTGATCAGATGTTTGTGAAGTGTGGTCTTCGGCATGTCCGTCATCTTTATCTTAGCTTGTGACGTCGGTTGAAGTGTTCTGGCAAGAGTTCCATTCGCATTCCTCGAGTTGGAGGTGGAAGTGAAAGAGCCTGATATGCAGCGAACTTCAGCCAACCAGCGTTGTCTGTCTGCCTTAGCTTCGCGGTTAAAAGTAGCTGTCCGCCTTTTCCTCTTTTTCGGTAACAACTTCGTTGCCTTTTGAGATGTTACTTCAGCATGCGCTTGGAGAATTCTCCTGTTGATTGCATGTGTACTGCTTTCGTTGAATTTGGTGCCCGTTTTCTTCGTCGTCAGCCATTTGACGTGTCGTTGAGGGTGAGGGGCGGATTTGGAGGCTTTTTGCATTGTCGATGTGCAACCAAAAGTGCCAACAATCTCTGTGCTCACGTTGGTACGGCTTGTACCGGATATGACATATCCAAAGATGGTTGGGGTCAAGATGAACCCCGAGGGAAGCTTAAGCACTGTTTCGGTGTGAACAGTGACGAAGTTAAGAAGATCTTGTCCAATAACGAGATCGGGTGAGACGCTCTTTTGGGTGAGTGTATCTTGAGCAATCGTCAAGCTTCTGGTAGAAATGAAGCGGACATCTGCATCCGTGAGATGTGCTGTATGTAGGTTGGCAGTTAACTTCTCTTTCGTGTGCACTGATATCTTCTTGAGCTTCTTTGCGTTGTGAGGGCTTTTCAAAGTGATGTGCACTTCATTGGAACTGAATGTCTCTTTCAATTCTCCCATTCCTGATGTGGTGAATGACGTCGTTTGGCTGACTGGCAGCTTGAGCTCTTCACTAAGCTTTGATTTGATAAAGCTTCGTTGGGCGCCGGAGTCAATCAGTATTGTTGTGGGTTGATAATCCCAATGTTCCTCGTTGAATATCATTGCCGACGCCATTTGGAGTACGCTTTGGCGCACGACGGGTAGTTCTTTGCTTGAGCTGCAGACTTCGGTTCTGTACGACGGGCTTCGTGCAACCTGTACTTCATTTGCTTTTCGATGATTTGAGTTGGTTCTTCGCTGCATCCTAGAGACTTGCAAATGATGACTGCTGCTCGTAGGAAATGGAGATTGCTCGAGATTTCCTCTCTCTTCTTCCCATTCCGAATCATTATCTGTGTCCTGATGGCCGCCCGTATGTGAGGTGCTTGGAAGCAGTGTCTTCATCGTTAGTGCGGTCGTTTCCCGAAGAAAGATGATGTCGTCGATTGCGTCTAGAATCTCGGAAACATCGAAGTGATCGCCACATACGGTTTCCTTCTGTATGACGGTTGCGCAGATGTCTTCAGGAAACTTGGACAGAATCATTCTGCGCCAAATTCTATCTGCGCTCATCTTCATTCCAGTTTGTTCCAAGTGGATGATCCGTGAATTGATTGCTTCGAAAGTTTCTCGGCAACTTTCGGGATTGTCTTTTGCTCCATGAAGTTGTTCGATTTCGTTGATGAGTATATCTGCCATGTTGGAAGACCGGTCAAAGTGCTTCTTCAGGATGTCTATAGCCGTCTTGTACTTGTCTCCAACGACGGGGATGTAGTTCAGAGCCGCAGCAGCTTTTCCTTTGAGAGCTTGCCTCAGAAAAAGGAAATTGTCGCCATCCGATAGGTCTTCGTCACAGTGAATGAGTGATTCAAACACTGTCCAAAAACTGTTGAACTCTCTGAAGTCGCCAGAGAATGTAGGAATCTCTAGGAGCGGTTTCCGGATATTGATCTGGCGTTCACTTCGTTCCGTTGTTGAGCTTCTTCCTATCTCGCTAGCTGACTGGCTTGGGATACTAGGAGCAGGCGTATGCAAAAGTGTCATTTGCTCCCTCAGTTCATGCTGTCTGAACTGTATCCTAGTCTGCCATTCCACTACAACCACTTCTAGATCAAATGATTCAAACTCTAAGTGCTTGCTGAGTTCTGTCATCAGCTTTTCCCTTTCTTTCTCATCATTCCGTGTGTTGATGTACTCCATAGCAGCACTGGTTTGCGTTTCTTGGAGCTTCATTGCGTTATGCAAAGAGTTTAGGAGATTAGTTATTACTCCTGTTTTCTCTTTAATGTACAGCTCACATTGTTCTTTTATCGCAGGAAATGTGAAGGGGACATCAATGTCATTAATTTGTGACTCGTGCGATTTTACGAGTTTGCAGGCATTGTTGATCCTGATTTTGAAAAGTTGAAGTGCGGCCATCTTCGAGATTCGATTCCGACTTCTTTTCCTTTTGTCCTACAGCAAGTTGGTTGCTTTGCTGTTTCTTCAATGTACAAGTTAGGGAGGTTTTCGCAAACTTGCAGGCTCGTTAGTGGTGTTGTTGAATAGAGACAGCTGTGTGCTGATCTCTGATGAGCAAGCGTGCCTGGTTGGCTTGAACGCTGTGCTGACTGGTAAGGTGGCTTGGACCTTGACCAGATAAAGATTGGGTTTCAATCCTTTAAGTCAAGAGTTCTTGGTCGAACTTTGACTTTTTTGGCAAAATAAGCTCCTGTGACTCAAGTTGCCTTCCTTTTAAATCTCAATGTATTGATCTCCGGTCCTTGGATAGGATTCGCGAGAGATCTATTGAGATTGATTGGAAAATTGCACCCACAAAAATTTGTTCCGCTCTCTGGATCACTTACGAAAAGGATTCACAGAAAGTTTCACGGTCTTATGTGGTTATGTGCTGCACTCACAAAATTTGTTCCACCCTCTGGATCGCTTACGGAAAGGATTCACAGAAAGTTTCACGTATTAGTGTGATTATGTGCTACCTACTGATTTCTCTTACACCTTTCTGGATCACTTACGAAAAGGATACACAGAAATTTTCAGATGGTCAGTGGTATTCCTACTGATTTCTCTTACACCTCTTTGGAACTCTTACGAAAAGGATACACAAAGATTTTCAGATAGTCAGTGGTAGCCTTCCGATTTTTCTTACACCTCCCTGGATCTCTTACGAAAAGGATACACAAAGATTTTCAGATAGTCAGTGGTAGCCTTCCGATTTTTCTTACACCTCCCTGGATCTCTTACGAAAAGGATACACAGGAATTTTCAGATAGTCGGTTGGTTGTCTTCCTGCCACGCGGGTCTTGTGGCCTCGATTCCTCCGGTTGCAGATAGAATACGAGGTAGCTTCACTGGTCGATGCACCAATTTGGTGGGAACCAAGTGTCGTAGGCGATAGTGGTGTCGATAATAATTTATCCACAGACGAACCCGGTGTTGAACCGGGGAGCAACCTCTAATACATTCGGGGGCTCCTTATATAGCTAGTAAGGCGGAGCTGACCCGTGCACAATCAGACTGTCCAGGAAATATATGCAAGAAAGAGGATGCCGCGGCTTGGCGCGGCCCCTGGAAGATAGGTGCCACTCACTGGTGAGTGATTCGGCACTTAAATATAAGCGGTTGGGGAATATAGCCTGTGGGGAATACCCGTGAGCTATTAAGACTATGGAATTGTTGAGGTTGATGATACATAAATCATCAACAGCCAGAATGTATCCGCTGTTTGATGGTTGACGATTTTCTGTCTCTTTTTCTCCCAAATCTCAAGGCACACACACAGTTACAGAACAAACAACCAAGCTTTCCAAGTGTCATCGCTTAGGGAGGGGTACGGTAATGAATTCATGAGTTCCTGACACTACCGTCATTGAATCGTCACTCTAAATTTTTCAAAAGCTGGAAACTTCGCAAAAAAAGATATAAAGAGGCTCAAAAGCAAAAAATCAAATTTAATACAAAAATCTCGAAAAAAGCGACAATTTCGTATTTATGACCTATTTTTGCTCTTCTTATTCTAATCACGGGAATTCAACAATCGTACATTTGAATGTCTATGCGGAGATTATATGCCTGAGTAAATCTGAGATCCGTAGGAATTCCATGGAGGAGAATAGATTTTCCAAATATTAGGTTGGCACATAAGTTTTGCAACTTACGATTAGTCCATGATTTTCCTCGTCTTGGATGTAGCGCTCTCATTTTTCGATATAATGACTAGATAGTGTGCTACAATCTTCAAACCATTTTGATGCTGATTACAAATTAGGAAGATCTGGCGCATAAGCTGGTTAAATTAGAAATGTCAACGAGCTAAAAAAATAAGTCGTACATTAAACGAATCGAGACGAAACTGTATGTAGATTGTTAGGGTTTATGCAGCATCCATCTTTGTACAGTCTCCTCTGAATATATTTGACGCAGGCTGAGAACGGCTTCATTTTTGTTTCTGTCACTGTAAAACTTTCAAACTGACCAGCTTTCGGAGAATGAGCAAAATTCCGCCACTTCACCTTCAGAAACAAAACGGCTTGCGCAGATTCGTAGCTCACTATCTAATCTTCCTTATCGAATAATACGAGCGCTACATCCAAAAACAGAAAAGCTATGACACAAGTTGCAAAACTTAGTGCTAACCTAATACTTGATTTTTTTTTTAATATTTTGACTTCAAAGTCCCTGTGGATCAATCTTTGCGCACATGTTCGGACTCCTTGTAGAGCTTGCTTTGCTCTATCAAGAGATACACAATCACTGTCTCTCGTGTTTACTCTGCCGCGGTCACCTCTATAGTAGTCTGTCGCTAAGATCAGGACAACACGCAGAATAATGGCCGCACTGGTATACAATACATAACCAGGTTACAGCATTCGAAATGTGGTGTCGAAACGGAGCACGACGCTATGACGGTGATGTTCAAACCTTGGAAAGCAAAAGACTTTACTTCAAGAGTGGTTCGGCGCGCAGCTTGGTTGGGAGTCATGGTCAAGGTAATATGCTTGGAATCATTATAACACAAAGAAAACTTAGATATTTTCAGGTAGCTTATGTCTTTTCCGGTGCACGATGTCTACGAGCTTTCAGTACCTTCGCGCTTCATAATCTGGGCGGATGGAGTATTGACGCTGCTCTCTATGGATCTCTTGTGATTGGTAAAGCGGCTTTAATGGTGAAATCAAAATTTGGCTTTTAACGTCCTACCTCTTCCAGGCATTGCTAGACTTCCTCTGGCGCTTGTGCCCGTGCTTCTTGTGGACCGAGTTGGACGTAGGCCATTGTTGCTATATTCAACGCTCATTTCACTTCTTTCGCTGATCGCCATGATCGTCGGCATCGATGTCGGCGAAGACCTGAAGGTAAAGAAACTCGCTCCCATTCATAATTTTCATCGAGTTGCTGACCGCATGGACTGGCCACAGACTACGGAGCATGCACCGTACGGCCACACGCGTGTACCACTACAAATCACTTGTGTACGCCTCGCCACGCGTCCGCAATCTACGGCTGGTCCGTGCGATCAAAAACTCGACAATAAACGCAATGATTCAGATAGCCACCTTGACGGGTCTAGCCACTCTTCTACTCATAAACGCATGCGGTCTGGGTTCAGTGTCGAGGTTCTATGCGGCTGAGTTGGTCCCAAGGGCTTATCTGCTTCCCTGCATATCAACGTTGAACACACTCGAGTCGCTGTCAAAGATTGCCGTTGAATTTGCTTTCTATCCGATAGCGAACATTGTAAGCCGTGTATCTATAAATTTCTGTAAACGGAATATTAATCACAAAAATGTAGATTGGAGGACAATCGTTGCTACTTTTCATTGTTCCAACTACAATTTTCATCTACTTCATGTGGTCAGATTGCCCAGAAAGCAGTAGGAGGCCAGTGAATGAGGTATTATATCACGAACTAGCTGGCTTGCCCGGCTCCGCCGGGCCTGCCAGCTAGACCCGTGTACGTATGTTCCGAATAGAAATTTTTATCTCTGAACCGATTGGGACCGAACTTTGCACACATACACTTCGGGGCAGGGAGCGTGTCACAGCCCACTTTTCGTTATCGATCGATGTCGATTTTACCGATTTTTTGCAAAATTTGAGCTAGGGGGCTAGGATTTTGCACAGGGGGGTAATCGAGCATGCTGATCACCCCTTCGGGGTGATCAGCATGCTCGATTACCCCCCTCTGCCAAATCCCAGCCCTCTAGCTCGAATTTTGCAAAAAATCAATAAAATCGATATCGATCGATAACGAAAAGTAGCCTATGACACGCTCCCTGCCCTGAAGTATATGTGTGCCAAGTTTGGTCCCGATCGGTTCAGAAATAAAAATTTGTATTCGGAACATACGTACATACATACAGACAGACAGACATACAGACAGACATACAGACAGACAGACAAACAGACATTCAGCTTTATATATAAGATTGTCGATGGTTTTTCGCAGGGGCTGGCCGCAGTTTGCGGAGAAGGCTTCGTATCGGCATGCTTTTACAAATCACTATTGCACAAGTCGTGCTCTTGACATTTCAGCCGTTCCACTCGTGCTCCGCAATCTACGCTAGTCTGTGCGGTTGACGATATCTTTCGAGCTAACGATATCTCCCCTTTCTAGGTTCTCAATGATATTGCATCAAAAATGAAAATCAATGTGGAGTTTCCAAGCTACGGAAATTTGTGATAATAATGATGTATATTTGGCCGGATCAGGAGGGCTGCGTAGTTCACGGGTAGACATTACATCGCTTCAGATTTTCTGTGCAAATATTTTACAGCCACTAATAAAGTCTGCTTGAAATATTCGAATGTTCCTCATTGCTGTTGTATGCTGCCAAAAGCTCAAGGCCCCTAATTAGAGTGGACAGTGCCTTTAGGCAGTGGCTCGGGAAAATTGCGCTTGCGAGTCCATCCCTCCTTGGCCTTCTGAATGCGCTAGTCCAGATGCTTAAATCTCTTTTAAAAAAGCGCTTTTATGGCGTTTTTGGGCCGCCAAAAACAGCCACTGGCTGCACGAGACTATGCGTGGAGTCATTAACTGATTTTGGCGGCAGGTGGCTGGTTGGTTCTGACAGCCAGTCGCCTCAGCTGGCGGGGGTTGTTCGTTCAGCCCTTCAGCTATCTGCAAGGCAGAAGAAGCCATAGAAAGCACTTTTTCGACATCAAGAACAGTCTTGGATCAGTGCATCCAGAAGGCCATGGAGTGATGAAAAATCCACGGTGGCATTTTTTTCCGAGAATTTCGGGGCTAATCGCGCCTTCCGATCGCTTCTGCACTCCATCCCCCACGCAGAAGAGTACGACGATTTATCGACGACCCTCTTCGCGAAAAACTCACTCCACGGTGCCTCCTGACCGTCTCCCACCTCACGCGATTACACTCGTCGCATAAAGGCAGTGTCCGGGCAGAAACTCGACTTCTAAAAAATCAACTTATCTGGGGTTATCCGCAACGCTGAATCCGAAAATCCACATCAGAAGGCGCGAAAACGGCGAAAACATGCATTTTCCAAGTCCTCACATTTCGAAATTTGGGGATCCCCGCCAGGCTAAGACGCAGGGGTTGCAAAGAGCGCACGGTTTTTAACTGTGGCGGCATACGTACTCTGCCGTCTGGCAGGAATTCAAACAGCTCGCAGGACCCCGCCCCGAGGCGTAAGTTTCCCCACTTTGCAATTGTTTTTCTTGCTTTAGGTCGAACGTTTTATGCTCGCAGTTGCGCGATGTTGTGTCTCAGGGGGGCCAGTCTCACATGGCAGAGAAATCTCAAAACCCCCATCTTGCCCGGACACTGCCTATAACTTGGCAGAGTTCATACTGTTTATACTCATGTCGAGCTTATCAATGTAAAGAACATATCGTGCATCCCCCAGAATTGTTCTCATATAAACCATCCACGTGGCTTCCTTTCGATCGTTCTAACACGTTAACTCCAGCAAATTTGGAGGCAGTGTCCGGACAAAAACTCCAGAAAATCCACTTACCGAGGTTATCCGCAACACTGAATCCGAAAATCCACATTGGAAGGCGCGAAAACGGCGAGAACATGCGTTTTACTAGCCTTACGTTTTGGAATTCAACGGCCCCCACCAAGGCCGAGACGCAGAGTCGCTGCGGGACCCTGCGATTTTCACTGTGGCGGCATGCGTACTCTGCCGCGCAGGAATTCAAACAGGTCGGAGGACCGCGCCCCAAGGCGTAAGTTACTCTACTTCCCGATCGTTTTTCTTGCTTTAGGCCGAACGTTTTAAGCTCGTACTTGCGCGATGCTGTGTCTGAGGGGGACCCACTTTCGCATAGCACGAAATCATAGAGCCCCCACCTTGTCCGGACACTGCCTTCAAGGCACACGCCATACTTGATCCACTTCATCCACTCTGCTACTGATAAAGTCAGTGAACTGACGCACAGCGATGAACGAAGTGGATCAAGTGGATCAAATGGACATCCTCGTCGCTATCGGTCAGTTCACCGTTGTGACCGATAGCGAAGTGGAGTAAATGGAACAAGCGGAACAAGCGGAATATCTACTAACAACAAGGCGTGCAACATGCCAGCAACTCATTCCGCTCAAGCGCCCCACAAGGTGCGCGGCGCGTGTGCGTTTCGTCAGCGTCAGCAATCGCATTGTAAACGCTGTCCATTGTGAGGGCTTCATTTGTTAGCTTTCAGAATTATAAGATGCGGGGGAGAACGCTAGTGGTGGATGATGCTCCTTTCGCGTGGTGTTCATCGTACATCCAGATAAACATCTATGACACCAACATCGAGAGACTTCGTGAGAGAGGGATCGACATCAAGGATATGATCGTGAGGAGTTCCCAGTGTGTGTGCAGATATGAATCCTTCATTGTTTGTGATTTTCTGCCAGGAGCACATTGGATGCCGATCCATAATCATGAATATTCCCATTCCGAAAGAGGGTGCAAGCTCACGGCATTTGCCAGGAGAAGCCTTTGGAAAAGACGTGGGTTTCCTATTGGTTAGCAGCCCATTATCATTGCCTACTTTGTTGAAACTTTTGCAAAACGGTCGTGCAAACCCGAGGCTGTTGCAGATGACAGTCATTGAGACAGCTTACACATGTCCCATGTCTTTCTTATTGAAGGGCTTGATTCTTGATTTACTTTGATTCTAATAATCCAAACAGAGTAAAGTTAATTTGTCGAGCACATGCACGTACAGCGTTGTTAAGCTTCTTTGTGGGAGAACAGGTGAAGTAGAAATGCGGTCTTTCAAATGCTATATTTAAGCATGTCTCGATCGTGCAAACTTGCAAAAGAAGCACTCTTCCTGCGAAATTGCACAACGTAGCTAATGAAAGCGTTACTGCAGTCAAAGTGGAAGGAACTAATGCAAAGGTAAGTTTTATTCTATCGCCATTGCAACTTTCATGAATCGCTCAAAGTATGTCCTTGCTTCTAGAGTGGGCATGTGCAATCTCCATCATCTTTTCAAGAAAAAAGCAACAAGTCCTTGGATCGTACCTGCACGGATGCAGCTGTAATGTCAGACGGTTGGTCACATATCTATACTTGCTGATAACGCAAGATTTCGCGCAAAAGCGCTCGAATTTCTTTGATCTCTCTTCACATTATTCCTCCTTACATTTCGCGCTAGCCTCCGCACGCTCCCTTGACATGCAAGTGCTGGTGTCAAGGGAGTGTGCTGGCGCTTCTGGGCTAGCGCAGATTTGTATGAGGAGAAATGAAAAATGTGAAGAGATTACAGTTGAGAGCTTCTGGGCGCCTTTAAAGGCAGTGTCCGGGCAAAAACTCGATTTTGAGATTTTGTGCTTACTTGGGCCTATTCGCTACGCTGAATCCGAAAATGCACATTGTAGAGCGCGAAAATGGCGAAAAACTTTTCTAACACAGGAGGGAAATGAGCAGGTGGGCGGGGTCCTCCCCACTGCGAATTCACGTTCCCGGTTTCTGGAGCGACCTTCTCGCTTCCGTTTTCAAGTCAGTCATTCGCACTTGACCAGTAGCGATGTTAGGACGGCTAGCGGAATCGAAAAAATCGCTCCGGGAGCTGGGAGCGTGAAATCGCACTGGGGAAAGCCCCGCCCACCTGCTGATTTCCCTCCTGTGTTAGAGCCCTTTTTCGCCATTTTCGCGCTTTCCAATGTGGATTTTCGGATTCAATATGGCGAATAGGCCTGAGCACAAAATCTCGAAATCGAGTTTTTGCCCGGACACTGCCTTTAAAGAAGTCTGACGGGTGCACTGACTACCTGACTGAAGGGCGAACTCCCTTCCCCCCCCTTTCTCTGAAATTTCTCGCCCACTTTGGAGGAGGTAGCACCTGAACTCGTATCGCTGCACCTCTTTCTATCCGTACCTTTGCAAATCGTTGCCAGCAGCGCTGTCAAAAGCTATATTTGTAAGGATCAGGATGCTTATGAATTCACTTGGAATTATCTCTATCCATGCGCCTATGATGATCTTAACGGATGCATCATAATCCGCACCTAGGGAGCTTGAAAGTGTGGAGGATCCTCAAGTGAAAAAATCGCTTCAGTCATACCTCCTGACCGTTACATTCCTGAAAGGGATGCCGTCGAGGCAAGCAGCGGCAAATCTTTGTGGAATTTTATTACTTCCCCAGTCTAGCAGGACGCATGCGAAATAATCTTTTGTAATTATGGTGTGAGTACTACGAGTCCAGGAGCGGTATTTATCGATTTCCCACTCGCTGTTCAGGCCATCGTTAAGGAGAGCCCGGACAGGCGAGAGCGCCAACCCGTGATTCATCATACTTTAAAATGTGGTTCGAAGTGGCTATGTTAGCCATGTCGGGCATGACAGTCGGGCAGCAGAGCCCGATCTCGACAGGTCGGGCTCCGCCCGTCTGCCGTGCCCGACATGGCCAAACTTGCCAGATCGGATCATATTTTCCAATAGAGGAGCCCGACCACCAGCTTGGCTTCTTGTACAGGGGCTTTCAATCTGAGTGTCACGGTCGACATGGTTCACCCCCTCGAGAGCCGCCTCGCTTGGGTCCCTCACGTGGTGCACTACCGCACCCGATACCGCCAAGGCCTTAGCGAATGCGGCATTGTACCACGTGAGGGACCAAGGAAGGCGGCTGGCGGGGACCTGAACCACGTCGACCGTGACACTCAGATTGAAAGCCCCTGTATCGCGGGCGCCAGTGCCCGCGCCCGTACGGGCTATTGCCTGTACAGGTCTTATATAGGAGATGGCTAAATACCGCCATAGGAGACATGCCAAGATAATGCTTTTAGGATGGTTGCATGGGTCTTTAGTATCAAACTAAAGACCGCAAACTGTTTGGAAGGTAACACCGATTTTTCAGGCGATGAGATTTTCCAAGACTGCATCGATGACGATAATCGAATCGACTTGCTCCCAAAACACCCATCAGTCTCAGAGATTTCTCCTTGTAAAGGTGCCGCTCACCGTGGAGGCAACCCTGAGTTACTCCAGAAAGCTGGATCTAATCACACACAAATGCCTGAGGCAGAGCGCTCCTTTATGGAATACTCACGAAAAGTTGTTGATGGTATTCACGCCATGAACCTGGCGACACGAACGGTTGCTGATGCGTTGAGCTCTGCTATGGGGGATGTAGTCGAAAAGGCTGAATCTCGCGTACCAAGTATAGAGAGAGATCTAACTACCAGCAAGCTGCTGAAAGAGCGAACACTGACATCACCGAAAAAGGTAGTCCGCAAATATCGCAAGCGCCCTCGACTTCTGACTTCGGATTCGGAGCTAGTTTCGGATGCAGAGCGGCCGGTCAGAGAAACCGATAAGATCGGCCATGAAAAGGTTATAATAACAGATTTAATTACACATATTTACACTGTTTTTAGAAAGTTCTTTGCTCTAATGAGCGCCAGCCTCAGCCCTCGTGTGGTGATGTTCACGAGAAGAACTTTGCTTGTATGTACTCAGTAAGTGGTCTTCGGATTCTTCGTTGCTTTGCTCTATTTCTACGACCACATACTTGCAGAAGGAAAACTTTGCTAAAAACTTTGGAGCCGAATAAGCTTTAACTCGCAAAGATTCTGAGGTTTAATTTGGTCGTCACCTACCACCCCATGGTTCCGATGGTTTGCAACCTACTGGTTAGGATCGATATTCACAACTGCTGCACTGTTCGCTAGTCTAGATTACTGTGACCGTAATCGCCAAGACCAGTGGGTTGCGGGACGGGCAGGCTTTTCACGACAAATCACGAAATTAGTGGGTTAAGAAACCCAGCGAGTACTTGTGCATATCGATCCTATACAATGGGAAGCCACGAGATGGGGACATATTGGTTGCGGGACCCACGGTCTTTGATGTATGCGATCGTTGCTTTCGTACGTCTATCTGCCCATTGAGTCTCGGAAACTGTGTCCATTGGTGGATATAGCCACTAATGGGACACTGCCTTCAACGTCGTCATGGAGCATGCCACGGGTTTCTCATAGCTATTATAGCTATACCACAAGTCTTTGAAAGACCAACAGGACAATTCAGTCTTCAACTTCCTATTCAGGTTTCGTTCTTGCAGGGGTGTGGAGCGAAAGTAGCTTGGCGCCCTCATTATGGCAAAAACCGTCTGGTTGATCACGTAAGGATTCATTGGGGGAAGAAGGTGAAAAAATGTCGTTTGTGTGACTATGTGGCATCACATCAGCGAAAGGTAGTTCCTCTAGAGAAACACGGTTGCAAATTTTGCCTTAACTGGGAACGCTTTCAGGTGATCTATCATCATAAATCTGTACACAAAGATAAAAGTTACGAAGGAACTCTATCCCTTGAGTAAGTCGTAACGGTAATGATGATCTGGTTGTTCACTAATCTCATTCATTGTTCCTAGAACGAAAGAGGATATGGAGGAGCTGCTGAGCCTGTGGAAACAATGCTTCCCAGGTTTGTTGGCAATTGCTAGATGTTTGAATCATTTCAAATGAATTTATAGAGCAAACGCCTCCTTTGCACCAACACATAAAGATATGTTAGACATGTGCTGTTGTAACTGAGAGGCTTATCTGTTTTAATGTAAGCTATAAATTTTCATCTCAGAAATTGGTGCAAGAGCTCAAGAATTCGTCAAAATTCCTAAATTGAGTAATTTTGGTTCGCGTAATGTGTAGGCTCGATTAAGCAGTTTATGCAGAATTGTGTGCTACTGTTGGATGGCAACATACTTTTTCCTTTTCTTAGGCAAAGCAGCTCATCATTCAGAAAAGGTATGACATTTTTCCAATTTCTCGAATTCAGAGGCATTAAATGTTGTCCAGGATTTCCTGCTTAGAATCAATTTGTCTTTTGATCTTTCTAATATGCTTTCAGATGCAGCGTTAGAAGAGTTTTGTGATGCAAAACTAGGACGTCTTCATCGTGCTTCATCAGCTTTTTACAGGTCTACAAAACGGCGTAACTCACATGTTGAATGATTATTGTGATAACCGTTTTTTCATTTCTAGCACGGCATGAACCTTTTAAATAGATAGTTTACTCTTCATGGAACTGTTATTTTTTTCCCTATTCTCTTTTCTCAGCAGTTTCTGTAAATTCTTCCTTGTATCATGTTTATGAATGTAGGTGTGTTTGTGCTTTATGATCACCGATGTCATTCTGTAAATGGTAAATTTTCTTTTTCTATTGGGCAATGACCTCTCCAATCTCCATGTTATGCATGTGCATAATTATAAATTCTATGAGCTAGTTATCACTGCATTTCATGTTAAGAGTACATTATTTTGTTGTTAGTTTTGATACCCGATAACCAGCATTATAAAAGTTTGTAATCGCTCAATCTTCCCTGAAATCGAAGCATTTGGTGAGCAACCAACTGCAACTATTTGGACAAAAAGTTTGCGTGGAGGGCTCTTTTCAGCATCTATATTACCGCCTCTGTCTCGTACAGGACCAGAAATTTCGCTCGCGATTGCCCCAACACGAAAATCGGTTTTTTACAGTCTACCGACTTTCAAAGTGTAAGTTTTCATTCTTGAATAACAGAAGATACTGCCTTGCGGCAGGTACTGTGGTACGGTAGGCATGGGAGGGGAATGGATACTTTGAGTGCACGTAGCAACCCACTGTAGGCAGAATCTGGTAGTCTTAGAGACAGGCGTATTCATCTGCGAAGCATATTTGTGTTTTTCGAACTTTCTGTGGTTACAAAATTGTTACACAGTTATCCGTGGACAACCGACTAGTCGTGTGGTTGTCAATATGCCTTGAATATAGACCTCCTTTTCAGGGCAGTGTGTTTTGTTCACTGGTTCGAAAATGGTATCGAAGAACTAAGAAGCTCCCAGCGTTTTTCCAAGTTTTGCTATATCATTATAGCGTAAATATAAAATTCAAGAAAAGTCTGACTTACACAACGCGCATGGTTGGCACAAGCTATCGTTCATGTATGTAGCTGCCTCCTCGGAAAGTCAGTAAAAATCAGCAGAGTTGTCATAAAGCACAGACTAAGCTTAATTTGTTAAGGGACGAGAGTCGATCATATCTTAATACACTAGTGCATTGGCTTTGACGCTTGCTATAACCAGTAGGGCACAGGGGGTACCGTGGGCGTATTCATCAACGAAACCTTGAGGTTAAAATCTATCTTATTGTTAGCTAGTATTTCGGCTTATAACGCGTATCCACAATCGCAAGCAAATCTTCTAAAGTCAAGTTTACCTTGAGGTAATCAACCTTTTTGGGTAACGCTTAATCGAATGTAAATTAGTATGAAGCTATTTACCAAGTCCATGGTGCGAAACAATCAAATTATGCACAATTATCTTGTTGTATTGTGGACAAGTACTCCTCCACGTGAGTGTTTTTTTGTTGCCTGTACCTCAGGTATAAGCTGCCCATCATTTTCCTGTGTATTGGATAGGATTCACCGGATCTAATCCTTGAAAGAAAGTGGCAGAAAAGGTCTGACTATGGATATATATTCCACTACTCGAACTATAGGTGACTGATAGTTTGCAACATTCAACTATTGATGAAGGACTTTGGTGGAATCCTTGCATCTGATCAAGAACACATACAAAATTTTGAATCGTTTATTTGGTTTTCATTTTCTTTTCAACAAGAAACAATAGAGAAGCTACGTCCCGCGAAGAAGACAGGGAAAATGAAGTGTTTACAGTATACGTGATACAGTATACTGCTGACGGTTCGAATTCCCGCCCGCACGTGTGCGCGCGTTCACTGGACGCGCGAACCCGCGCGATTCAAACGTACACGTCAGCGACCCAACCGAAAAGAATCAAAATGTAGACAGATACATACGTAGTTGGGGGACTACGGTGCAAGTGTCCGGCCGCGTCTCAGCCTTGATCGTCGGCGCAGCACGCAGCGAAACACCTGCACGAATCCAGCACATAACAATCATACATACGAAGTAGAGAGAGATTTAAACACTGCCCGAAATATTTAGACCGGATCATCAAAAATGCTACCACTAGGCCAAATAAATACTTTGGAAATTTACAGGTGATTTGTACATCGAGTGGAGCGGCGCTACTCAGGGCGCGACCAATCTACGGGCACTACGTCAACTAGAGAAATTATGAATGCTCGGGTATGTGGAGCACAAAACGAATCACTAGAGAATTAGGGGAACGTGCTAGACGAGGAGTAACTTGGGAGAAGAGCCGCAGGTGAGGAATACCGCTTTCACCTGACAAATTCGTTGGCTGCAATGCTAATGACGCTAGAGGGGAGGGATAACTGAAGAAAAAACTCGGAAGAGTGCGAGTAACCCAGCAGTAGGATGTGTGTATATACCATCTGTATACATACAATAATATATGGAGTACATCAGTGTATTCAAACAAGTGACATGTCGGACTGTACTCGAATTAGCACTATGAAGGGAGGGATGAGAAAATCGGAGAGGCACAGAACAACTCAGGAGAAATGAAACGCTGAACGACCGCGTTTACTATCCCGGGTTTGCAAGAGTGTAGGCGCAAAAATCATCGCATGAGACAAGCGCGAGGTTTGACTTACGCGCTTGCTCACTCGCTCAGTTCACTGAGTCGGTCGACGACACTTATGCTTAGAGTGTGTTTTTTGATGCGCGCGACGCGTCCGCTATTCAGACGCAGCGCAGCGTGACCCGATAAGCGTTTATAATCATATTGAATTAGCCATAGAGGGATGAGTAAGGGAGTGTTAAACCACTGGAATCCATTGTGTGGTGTTGCGTGGGAGGTAGAACAGTGTCGTTCGTGGAGTGTGACCGGCTACTGTGTTCTGTGGATTGTAGATGCTGAGCGAGACCTAAAACGAAGAAATTAGACAGGAAATAGGAAATTACGCGCTCTGCCTCCCATGCGTGCGCTACAGTACACCATTGAAAGGCGTTAGGCACGCGCCCGGTTTGAACCTCTTGATTCACTTCGCTATTGGTCAAATCATTGAACCAACCATTAACAAAGCGGATGTCTGCTTAATTCCCTTCATCCACTCATCCACTTCGCTATTAGTCAGTTAACTGATTTGACTAATAGAGAAGTGGATGTTGTGCATGAAGCGGATCAAGTATGACGTGTGCCTTATCAGTACTGAATGGATTAAGCTCACCTGGAACGCGAGTCTGTCGATCATCACTAACGTCTGACGTCTTTCATGGCTCATCAAACAGACGGTGCTTTCGCTGACAACACGATGTAGCAACATCAGGAAGTCGTACTTAGCCTGACTCTGCGCCAGAATCGTAGACGGTGCCTGGCTTGTCGAAGCTTCTGAGTCGGTGTCGTCACCAGAGCTTGACCACTAAAAAAACTCATCTTTTTAGTAACTTAGTGGCCTACAAAAAGCATTAAAAATACGTTCCACTCAATCAGCCTGAATATATAGTTTCCTATCATTAGAGGCACAGCCTAAGCCAACGAGCAGCAGCTATTTTTGCTCCCGCTGCTCTGCAATTTCCTCACCCGATGAATGGACAAATGATTGATGTTGGCGCATGATGCAAGTGCACGTCATCGATGCATTTGGCTTAGGTTGTCAGAAACTCCGACAACTCGTGGTTCAGAGCCCCAGGAAACCCCTTCACTGCTTAGCGCTGGTCCGATGATGTCATCGGCGGAACGTGGGGCTCCTTCGGCTCCGCAAAGTGCTCTAGGGATTACGTCAACGTATCCTAGTCGAAAACATACACCTCAAGCGTGTATGGAAAGGATGTAGCCCTAACAGTGAAGTCAGCGTCAGTCATTCACCACAGCAGAAGTGCGCTTGAAGGTAAAGGACAGGCACACATTTTTTTGCACAATAGAGCTTCTTTTGAAAGTACGACGATATCCATAAAAGCACTTCCTCGTAAACAGAGCGAGTACTCTGGGGGCGAAAGGCTCTCGGATTACATTAATTAGTGCAGCCTTACTAATCATACGGCTATTCTGGGTGATTACACAGGATCTCCCCTTTTACATCTAAGCGCCTTCTACATTTCCAGGGCATGTTTTGTCCATTGCAGGAATTGACTCTACTCTTACTCTCTCTTCTTCGCCATGTCAAAATATTCTACGGCTAGGATGAAGCACATGCGATGGGCATGCTGAGTGAGTGGGAAGCGAGAGATATGCGAGCTTCAAAGCGCATTCATCTAGAGAGCATTCCTAAAGAGTGACGTGAGCGGCGCTCAGTAATGAGATACTGGCCGTTCAACTCTTTGAGCAGCGGCCGCAGCCCTTTTGCGGCGGTTGCTTGAAGAAGGGGGAGGGGGGTGCAAGCGAGACTAACAAGCAGCAAACATGCTCAGCTAAAAGACATACATGAAGCAAATTAGATGCCGAAACTGCACAGAGAAACATCGATGCTCGAGCGACGAGTACTTCCTCTGAAGTTTGCATATGACAGTGCAGATTTCATTTTCATCAGAAGCTTCCAGGGTGAAAAAAAGCCAAGTCGATTTTTTCAATCTTACGAAAGTGATGACGAAGAATTGGCTTTGAACCACTTGCACAATAATTAGATTTACTGTATTTTATCACGCAAGGAAATGCACCACCAGATATTGTTTTGAACAATCGTTATTTTCTGCCTTTTCTATATTTTGCATTTTCTCATCATTTTCTTGAAAGGTCTCCATTTTAAAACGACCGTGATAAGTGCATTTTTCCACCGAAATAGCAACATGATGCAATCGTTTTGACATTCAGACTTCAAGATGGAAATAACAAAGCTTTTCATAGCCAAAATTTTGCAGCTTAGACCGAAAAGGGCCAAAGTTTAACTCCTCATATAAAAGGCCGATGGCGCCATACTGCAACAATTTTCTCATGAGGGATACTGATATCTGAGAACTCCAAAATACATAAGTCGCCCACACTCCTTTGGTCAAAAAAGCTTCCTCCCCCATTCTATGCAAAAATAGAAGTTTCAGTTTCATAGTGATTGGTATTTAAGTTCTGCTTTAGGTTGCTAATGTGTCTGCTTGCTTCACAATGTTCAAACATCGAATATTCGTCATAGTGTGAGTTCCGATCTTCCGCTATGAATTAGACCGCGAACACACGAAAACAATTTCTGAATACGTCAGGCGCAATAACAACTCTATATCCCACAAAGCGTAATCCAAGCAACCAAAAGCCATTAGGATTATCAATTTCCAGGTGTGTGGGAGTATTCGGTAAAACAGGTAACTAGGAATTAGAACAGACTAGAAACAGTATCAAAAGCCAGTTTACACTATTATACGCTACCACTGTGCTGTTAATCATATTTGCGCCACGATAACCCAAAAATATTCCCTTAGTTGCTTTTCATTCAGTCACGGAAATTCCGTTGCACTCTAATCTTGGTCATTGAAAGAGGCAAAGAGTGCACCTCCTCAATACGTAAGTAACTACGTAGGAAGTCAAAACAGCAAGCAACCGTAGAATACGTCATTCAACGTGATTTTTTATGAGTGCAAAAGCTTTTCAACAGTTCATGAATAGGAACGCAGAAAGTTTCAAAGAAATTGTTGCTATTAATCTAACTGCTTTTGATGATTCGCTTTCGAGTAGGCGCATGGAAAATTACACCTCTCGACGCAAATACGATTGGTTAGGAATCACAGTTGTCTCCTTTTTTCTATTTGTACAGTATCCCACAGAGGTACAGTTCGGTGAAAATTCAAATATTTTGCAAGATTACTGAGAGCACAATTTTCACTTGCTCAAATGCATTGACTGAATTTTGAAGAAATTTTTTTGCGTCTTCTGATTAATGGGAAACAAGGCGGTTCAGCAGAACGTAATTACGAATATCTATTGCCTAACATTTGAACTTACTAATACAAGTTCCCTCTACTTGGGACTCATGAACTCTCTGACGATATACTTCTTGAGAAGATTGAGTCAATGCAAACAAAAATTTATTTCGTACTCGTTCAATCAAGTGTTTTTGACAGGACCATACTTCCAAATGTCACTATGCTCATTCCGTCAGTGCATCTACTAAATTACTTCTGCTTTTGGCTGCGTCCCTATTAGAGATCCCGTGAGGCTGCTAGCCACAAATAAAAACGAGACTAATCAAATGCTCTCGGCACTACGGAAGGATCTCACTTGCTGCCCACGCTCATCGGCATTCTCTACGGAATGGCACACACACCACATACTGAATATCACAATTCGCTGCCATATTTGGTGGCAGCGCAATGAGATTTAGTCTTTTTGGGAACGAGCACAAGCCTGCTCAAACAGAGCAAGTTCGCACATCCGGTCTGCTGCCGAGCTGTTTAAGCAGCCGGCGATCGTTGGCCACGGCTGCTTTTGCAACTGTGTGAGTGGAACGCATGGATTCATGTGACTGTTTGGGAAGACAGATGATCAGAAACAAACATGGGGGTAGAAAACAGACCTGGTCATTGTTCCATCCAAAATGGTTGTCCAAATAGTTGCGCAGTTTTTGCTCTTGGCTAACAACGTCAGGGAAATCGATGAAGAAACGAGAGCACATATACCTGTAAAAGAAAGTCTTTAGCTGAAGAGTATTCTATAACATTCTCACTCTCTCGCCCCACAAAACTCGCTCGTCTCAAAATATACTCATGTTCGATGCTGGGATACAGCGTTTAGGAAAATCCGCGCGTTACTCCGGACTTCTTGGGTAGATACCGGGTGGGAGCTCAACTAAGTTATTGTCAAGTGCGGTTCATTTTATCTCTGACAAGTAAATTCGGAAATCTAACCCATACCGTACGCGAGACTACTGAAGCTTGAAAGAGTATGGTCTGGGCGAGGGTTTAGGTTTGAATTACTCGGTCATGAATGATTCTCAGGAGCTGCCATTTCGACGGTGGCTTAACTAGTCCAGTTACCTTCTGCATAAGAAGCCAGGTGCTTAGATTTGCTTTGATCTGCTTTCTTTTAAACTGCCTTCGCTATCCCCATTAATCACTTCTGAGCCAATTAGTTGTTTCGCGTATGTCGCGCACGACCGCGTGTCCGCGAAGTTTGTCTCATCTATCATGGCGTATGTGTATGTATCTGGGCTCGGATGAATAACGCCCAATTACCCATCAACATCATTTTCCACGCCATCTCCTCATCGCAAACAACACAAACCCTCGCACATACTCGCATACTACACAAACATCATAGTGAATAGGATAAGCATCGATTACCTCTCTAGTTGCCTGCATTTCGAGGGTCGAGCTGCTTTGTAGCCCCTTGTAAGTAGGTGACAATATTTAAGTAGTCCGCCGCCTCGAATCTCTTCTGGTCGGCGCGTGTCAATTAGTCGTTCATGCAGATGAGACATCGCCTGAATATGAGATATCGATAAATAAATCGATATTGTGACTCAGAATTTGTTCAGTGTGCAATTACGGGAAAGTTAAGCGTCATAGCTGTCATTTATGTGAAGAGGGGGGGGGTACTAATAATATCTGATGCTCAATCACTATGCTAACCGATACCCAACAATCAACGAGTTACCTGTCTAATTGTAAGATGACGTGGAAGTCAAATTTTCGAAAACTGTATTTTTTACAATTTCGCGAACAGAAAGGAACGAACCTGATGCACATCGCCGAACATGCTCTCGATGTAGACTTTGACATTCGTAGCGTTGAAGTCGTCCAGCAGCGGGTCAAGGGTGATTTGGAACGAATCGACGGAGAACTCGAATTGACGCCTCATCTTGTCTACGAACTTCAATTCGATACATCGTCCGAAGTCGTTATGTAAGGAGAAAAGCGACCAACGATCATCGTCACCGGACACCTGAAGAAAATGGCAAAATTTTACGAAAATCTTCGTCTTGGCTGCAAGGAAAACCTCGGCACTTACCTTGACCATTTTTCCAATATATACATCCTTCAAGGTGTCAGCGCTGATTTTCGTCTTATTTGCTGATGGCATCATGTCCATAATTGTTTCAAATACAGCTTCGCGAACCTAAGTGTTCATTTCTATAAGCTCTTGTCAGCTAATAATCAAGTGAGAAAAGTTAGCGAACAAGCTTTCAAATAAGCATAAGTTCAACGATAAAAGGAGTAGAATTCTTAGTGATGACTGAAGTGAGACAAAATAAAAAACCAACCTTGTCAAAACTATCCGAGTTTTCCACGTCCATGGGGAAAATGAGATCAAGATCGGCATACGAGAAATCGTCCGCAGATGCAACATACGATGCGGCTCCACCATTCAGTTTAACCGACTTCGGTGGCATGCCGGCTTGCCTGGAAAAAGAAAATAACATTTGTGCCCACTTTTCCTTTGGTCTCTTTCTGCATGCAATGTATCTGGATTCAACGATAAAGCTATGTATGTCTCGTGTACACACAATGTTATTCAATTGTTGTGCGTTCTAAAGTGATTATGAATCACTCTGGTGTTATTGAGCTGAGGCGAGAGCTGGAAAGCCTCAAAGCACAAAGGCGCAATTTCTACATTCCAACGGTTATTGAAAAGTAAAGTCAATAGTTGTTGGCATTGTTTTGCCCCACTGACCAGCAATTCGCTCGTCAGTTTATTCCAGCTCATTGCTGTCCATATGGCGTTTTTACTGTGAACAAACGGGGCATAAACATAAATATACTTTGCACCATATTGGGGTCCCACATCTGCTATTACGAAGCGAGTACTGCAGTGTTTGGCTAGGCACTAGCTGTACATAGTAGCTGTACAAATCATAGAATTCTATGGTTTGTGTTCTGAAACTTTCCAGACCTCGAAACACTCTCGCGTGCCAGGTCCGTAAACGGATCGAACAACTGACGTACGTTAAAGCAGGTGATCAACGACCACCACGTTCTCGCCTCCACCCACAACAGCTAAATTTCCAATTCCAATGCGCCTTGGAACCGCGAAGTGCTGTCGAAAGCCAGAAGTGCGTTCGATTTGCATACGATCTATCTCCTGCGAGGAAATGAAAGCGTATGCGCATGTGAAAAGAAGCGCCAACGACCGCTGTGAAAAGCAAAAGAAGCAGGCGTTGAGCGCGTAAAAAGAATTCTCGAAGGTGATAGATGCTTGTCGTCAATTATGCATGAAGTTGCAGCAGTCACCGCTTCCCACGTATGGCAAATAAAGGACGAATAAACTTGACGTGGGGTGATGCACGTATTCCTGAGGTTAAAAGTATTATGGGATAAATACCATGAAATATGAGAAAATGACTCCATAATTTTGAAAAAAACGAAGTGGCTTCATGCTCTATGGGTTAGTAAGAGGGAAGAACTTTTAGCTTGAATGTAAACTCATTTTTGAGGTTTTTTCTGAACTTTTTCGACTTGAAGCAGAGCTTGCAAGGCGAGCAATCTATCACAAATTATTAACAGAAACATAAACAAAATAAATAAGATTCAATGCCAACCTGAGTTTTTCTCGTACACATGAGATTATATCGATGAGGCGTGCCGAAATAGTCGGGAAATTTCCTTTCCCATGGATTTCAACCGTCTCGTTGAGGACGGTACGTAGACGATCAATCTGAAATAAGCAATGATAGTAATCGTCACATCCTCAGTCTATCGTTGCTATCATTAATCACAAACTCTCTCTTTCCCCACTCAATCCATCAGAAAACTCCAGACCACCATGTCAGTGAGGCCCGAGTTCAAGAAACAGAGCTATTCATCAATGTTTCTCTGAACAATCACGAACACTAGCGAGGAGTACAAAATCGCTGCTGACTCGGGGAGAGAAATCAGGAATTTGGCTGAGACAGACCACCCGCAGCGAGCGCGTCTTTTGTTTTCCTCTTTTAGACACTGGGAAAATATCTTGCGGGAGGATACGCAAATTCGGATAGATTTCAAGATTTCTCAAGAGTTTAGCGGTGGCACACATGAAAGCGCTGAGAAAAATTGTAAAAAGGTGTCCAGGAAGTTACTATTCATGAAATATTCGGCACTACGTCACTCGGAAATTTCTGCGTTGTTCTCGTGGTTTTCCATTGCGCCAATTACGACTGAGAATGAGTGCTAGCTGCAAGCAACCTGCAGGTGTCCCTCAGCAAACGCGCAAATTAGTTCTTGGTTCGGCAAAAACTCGCTGCTTATGCCCCTTGCAAGCCGTCCGAAGGCCCCGAAGGCAGAGCGCTTTCGGTGACGTCGACTTGCATCATCGGATGTGCACTTTCACTCGCACATTCCTCGACGATTCGTACCAGGCTGGAGATGCGGTTAAGCTATGCTCGCCCCTTTGCCATACTATATTCGTACGCCAATTGCGTGACTCGTTAACACATTTAGGGGGCGATATGGCGATATCTGGGAGCGTGGTTAGAATTAGTGGACGAGTTCCTTGTGTGAGAGCTCTGCTGACGTCACACAAATGAACAGCATACTGTAGACAATTGCTATGCATGTTGTATGGCATTATCTCACGAAAGCGCATTGAATCCGTGCGCATTTCTAATGGTCCACTGTGGACTATGTGGGCGTCTCGGCGAGAATGTGAACGCCATCTTTTATTCAATATATTGCACTAATATGGTGGTGGAATTTCTGGATTTGCACATGATGTTAACTCGATGGGTCCTCTCTAACCTATACAATGTCAGCAACGAATGAAGAATAGTTGAGATTTTAGTAAGCGGCGAAACTTGTGTCATCATCATAGCCGCAAGCGATAATTAGTTCTCGAATCTTCTGCATAGCCCTTCGATATTGAAAACCTCCCTTATTTATCGCTTTGATAGCGAACGCTCATTTGTTTTCGCTTCCGCGCTCGCGTAGATGTTTCCAGAGGGATGTCTGCTAAATTTAGCGTTGCTCGCTATAACCTCGCTACGATCAAAGATCCGCTGAGAGTGTCGCGTGATTTGTGCGTTTCCAGATTGTTCGCATCTTCCAAAAACATCAAGTTGCGCATTTTTCTAGCACAAATCAAAAAATCTTGAATTATTGAAAAAACCTCGCAACAAGCTCTCAAATGGTGAGACATCAATGACAGCCTAGTTTACAAAAAAGCTCCAATAACATTGCAGCTTTCTTGAAGTCCTACTCAGTCACAAGCTAGGTAGACATTACAATGTTTGCGTGAGCTGAGCCGGTGTCTTTTAGATGATCTTTTCCGTTTGTTTTTTCTTCTGCTTCCGCCAAGACGAAAAAAAGTCGCCCTTGGTATTTTACGAGTGTGACAAGGGAGACTAGAGTGCAAACGAGTGCAAAAAAAATGTGAAGAGCAGCGTAAAGAAGCGAGAAGACGAACAGAGTCTTGTAACTATTTTTACTTGAATAAAAAAAATAAAAATAGAAAGTGAGCAACGCGGGAAATAATGCGCGTACATCTGAATTGTATTATTTAGTCTGGTTGGAAAAGAAAAAATTTCGGATCAGATTTCGGAAGCAAATCATGGCTATGCAATCGATATTTAGATCTTGCGCCATGCTAAAAATCTAATCAAAATTAGGCAGCCAGGAGTGAGATAGGCGATTCAGCACACGCAAATCTAATCATAAATGCGAATACCATGCTCAATCAAAACTGCTCTACCATTCTGCTACCGTAATATAGTTGTATATTTCTTCGTTTTCTCTCTGGAGATATACATAATTTCTCGCCTGCATAGCTATATCCATTCGCATATCATATTTCATCATTCGCGCTCTCTACAAGGAGGCAATTGCCACTGACGTTGTCTGTCGGCGCGAGCGTGGTTGAAAACGAAAACGATCGTGCAAGAAAAAACTCAATAAGAATTGTAAATTCGGCATCGTGTTCTATTCCACACATCAAAGCAAAAAACGCGTAAAGATGCGAGAATCATCGAGAATAGGCGCGAGCGGAGAGAGCGCAATGAAGCAAGCAAATAAGCGACATTCAGAGAGGGAAATGGAGAGTTTGGGGAAGAGAAAGCTAGTCTGGAGTCTGGAGAAATCTGCAGGACAAACGTGGGAAAGGGTTTTAGAAAAACGAGTTGAATTTTGGAAAATTCTTACTTGCTTCCGGGTGAGCTCCGTAGTACTGGCCACAAATGGTCCCTCGTTTTTCATAATTCTTGAGTTGTGCGAATGAGGGCCTGCGGTGAGCTGAAACAGTAAAAATAGACAAAAATCACCTTTTTTGAGCTCAGATAACGGGCTAATATATCGATCTGCTGCATGCAACGTCTTAAAATGATCAATGATTAATACGTTTTATGAGCATGACTGAGACTCAGTGAGGGAGATAACAGCAATTCGAAGGTCTTCTAGCAGACAGACGATGCGATTCTCGTCAAACAGACTGCAGCATGAACGATATGCACAATGTGAGGAGATAGCAGGGCCGATATGGGAGATATTTGGGAGATTTTTGCAGAAAAAGCTTTAAAATGGAATTATTGTTTGAACAAACGACAGAAACAGAGCGGAGGCAGACGCTCCAATGCGTTTCAATTGTGGGAATTTGCTCGAACTTGCAATATTCGGTTGGTTCAGCATATTTGTATCTGAAACGCTCAAAAAGAGCTCGGGGCCCGAATGACGTTAGTCCTGAGAGCGTTTCGGAATGCAAAACATCGCATATAAACAAATTTTCGCCAAGCATCATCGAGCCAGACCAGAAGGGTTTCTCATTTTGAGAAGTGCTCAACATAAAAAAAACGAAGGAAAAGAGATTTTTGTTGCACTAAGATACACAGGATATTAATCATTAGCGAAACGTCATTATACTCAGGAATAGGAGAAATGACTATGGATAGCTTATATGCCGATTACTATCAAGAATGTGCCTGCCACTATGATGTCTGACATAACAAGATAAATCAGAAAAAAAGCTTATCGCAGTGCGTAATCATGAAATGACGTACGGATTAGAGGTCGATGAGAACATTCCAGTAGGACTGGAATTCATCGAGAAAGGGAAATCTCCTCGATGACTTTGGCAGCTAGAAAGTGCTAAAGAGATCGCAGAACCGGATCAAGTATGGCTCGTCGATGAACGGAACGCGTTAAAGAACTGGTTCCGATGACAGATAGCGTTTCGGAATGAAGAAGTGTGGCGTAATCATCAGGAAAAGGAACGCTAGCGTTGCATCAACGGAGATTCTTGATGCACTTTTTGGTAGCTCTCGAAATCAAAAGAATTCTTTGAATGCCGAGAATCGCGAGTCAATTGGATTCGGAAGAGGGCAGAAGAAGCGTGGAAGGTTCAGAGATTGCAAAAAGGAGCGCATCGTTTAGATAGCGCAATTTATTGAAATTGGACGGAATGTCGTAGAAAGGGCAACTTCTTATCTCTATAAACGTCACCTACCCCTCTTGGCCACTGCGACACAATTCGTTTTTTCGACGACTGCATCGGCGTGCAGAAAAATACGCAAAGACGAATCACGGAGATCAGAATCGCCGACGACGACGACTGAAGAACGACCGCTCCTTCTTCTGACGACGACGATCAATGCAGAGGCAGCCAGCGGCGTCCACCACTCGTCGCTCCGCCCTGCGCTCCGGCGACGACGTCGCCGGCGAAAGGCGGTCCGGCGTCTCGCGCCCTCCTCGCCCGCGCCGCTCTCGATGCGGCTCTGCGCGCGCCTCTCCGCCGGAGCCGCGCTTTCTCGCCACCGGCTAGCCGCGCACCTCCGCCCCTTAGAAGGCCTGCGGGCGAGTTCTGGAGGGCTTCGCGCTCGTAGCGGCTCTCCGAGCTCGGCGAGCTCTCTCGCTGCAGCTGCTCGCGGCCGAGCCCACGCAAACCGACGTCACCCTGTTGTCGGTCAGAAGTGATGTCACTCCCCTGAGGCACGTGGGCGTGGCCGGGGCGATGACGTCGCCTGGCTAGCTGCCAGAAAACGTCACTAATCACCAATTAGGACCGAAGATAGCTGTACACATGAGCACTTGAGGTGCTGTGCTTGCTCGCCGAAACCGGAAAAGCGGACTTCGCTACAATTGACGAGGATGTGAGGAGGATACCGTAATCCCGTAAGTTGATTCCATGAGGTGGCGCCCATGACGTCTTACTATATTTTGCGAATAAGCAGACAATATCATAGTGATATGAGCAGCAAGACTTTGCTGCTAGCATGGTTATAAGCATATTATCCGCCACATGGATGAAGATTTATATGTCATTTGATATCATGCAGAATTGTTTCTCACAATAACCATAACGGATTGCGCTCGATGTTAAAGAAATGCGGGCGAAGCTTGATGTTTGGCTTTGACAACACCCACCGTCTATCATTCACGGAAAGGATGCAAAAAACATATGAAATCTTGAATATTCACGTAGAATATTCAATCATTCTTAAGCCACATCTTCGCCTTCGCAGTGATATCAAACGCAAATCATTCATGGCAGCACCCACGCATTTGAAAACACTCAATGGTTTCAGTATGAAAAAATTTACATGAACACCAAAGGGAAGGAGGGATTATCAGTGATTATAGCTATAAACAGAAGTGCGAGCGCGTAGGAGAGTGCGTGTGGCTTGAGCGATGGCTTAATCTTTATAAAATGAGAAATGAGGAGAATTCGTACTTCACTGGAACCACAAACCCACCTAAAAATCTTCCTATTCCCTGACTTTGAGTAATACCATCTGTATATGGGTTTGGTAGTCTTTGGAAGAGACTGAAAGGTGACAAAAAGTGCTTCGACATCGAGATAGAATTCTATGCATACTATTATCGAAACTTAACCAATTTTTGGTGTGAATGACTATTGCGCTAAACTTTCTAAATTCCGTTTTACCCCCAATAGCATCCCAAAAGCGTATAAATATCACTGAGCGTTGGTAAATTGGTTTATTTTTACTATATCAAATGGCGCCTATTCTTCTGGATCTCAGTCGAGAAGTTAGTTATCTTTTTTTTCAGTAGCTATACGTAATATATGTAGGTACTTTTTTAAGTCCTGTACTTTCCAGCTCCAACAATCTCAATAAAAATTGTAGCTCCAGCGTTATTCACAGCTTTCGCATTCTCTTAATCAGTGAATAAAATGTGAATTGCGTCAATCGTTGCATGTAGAGCACAGGCTTCCACATTAATGGCGTTTGCTTACGTTGAACCAGTATAATGGAGTTTTTGCAAACGGAGTGCGAATTCCACCAGCAAGAATGTCGGGCACCGTATTTTTGGATCCACGTCATTGTAAGCAGGTAAAAGGGCAACCGTAGCCCCCATGCAAATCGTGATATTTACCAAAAACAGCAGCTCCTATTATTCTACAACGAAAATCACCTGCTTGCAAGGCTTGCTATGGCTTCTTAGCAGCAAATTAGATATCCACATTATCTCTACCATTCTTTAGCAGTTCCTGCGAAAAGCCGTGCTGCAGAAATTGAATACATAATTTATGCAGAGCGCTGACCGAAGAGCAATATCAAGCTCATTCTTTAACTAATCCCAAGCGGAAGAGAGAAGGCTTTTCAAAAAGAATAGACGCGATGAAATCAAAGACTAAATACGTCGTTCTGCTATTCTTAAAGGACCTATTGTACCGAACATAGGCGATCACCCTCTCATCTACGACAATCCAGTCTAATTTTGGGTCGACACATAAGTCTTGTTACATTACTTCGTTTGTATTTGATACACTCTAGGAATTTTGACAAAGCCTTATATCCGGGATACATGAGAAATGGACAAAAGAGTATCTATGGGCGTCACTCTTACCCTCACAGAATTACGGCCATATAAGGTCTGTAAACGCTGCTTCATCCTTCATTTTCTTCCATCTCTCAAAAATTCCCTTATTCTTCCTTTTCATCTTTTTAGTTTTTCAAAAAATTTCTAGGAGCGTCCTTGCGCTTATACCGAAGGCAGCCTTAAGGTTCAAGCTCTTCAAAAAGATGGCTAAAAATTTATCCAAAATAATATCTTAAATTTTAGAAATTTTAAAATTTTTGAAAATTTAAGCATTTGTTCCTCCACATAATTTGAATAAGATAAAAAAAATCTTTCGACAAAGTTATGGTTTTTTTCCTTTGTATATAACAAAACTCGAACCTCGACTATGCCGACCTGATGTGTGTAATATTTAGTGAAAGCTGATTGTGACAAAGAAAAAGACATCTGTGGTCGTATTACTTCATCAACCAGTTTGATTTCTAAACCTATGTTAGAGGATCAATTACCGCTGTCCACTTCAAATTGTGAGGTAGACACTTACAAGTGATTCTGTGATTGATTTCTAATTTGATAAGGTCTCATTTGTTTGGACATTCTTTTTATTTCTTCTACATTTTGGTGCACCTCGAGTGTATTTCTAAAATAAAAAAATAAAAAATAAAAATAAGTAAGGCTGGCTGCGATTTTTTTATCAAACTGAGTTGCGTTAAAGCTTGATAAATTCGGCCTTTTGTCCAAGGCAAATGACAAGAATTTTCCTTATCGTTACCATGAGCAATCTGCAACCTAAGACGTCGGAAATTCTGCAAACTCAAGGAAGTTCTGAACAAACATGATGGTCTTAAGTGATGAGAAGGCTGTTTTGATCGCATTTGCAAGTTGAGCAAGTTTTTACTTCCGGGTATTTCCTGCATGCGATGTGTTCACAGTGATACTAGTTCCTCCAGGGTAGTGATATATGCGGCATTAGCATGACAGTTGAAGCCTGGCTAACTCTAGAGTTTTTTCCGCATCAGAGATGCTAATCACAGCGTTGAAGCACACCATCAACGGAGTTACAGTTTCTCCGAAATTCTCACGCCTTAATCACAGCTTTGCAAAAAAGAAGCCTTCACGCATTTGCGAGCATTCTCGCCACGTCGTCACTGTGCCGTCGTGGCACTGATGATATCTCACAGTTGTGAAGAGGGCGGGGGGGGGGGGGAGAAGGAGGGCAAAAAATATAGTAATATAGGCTTAGCTTCGAAGATTGGTCGCCAAGTTGCGTCTGCCATGCAATGAAACTTTCCACATCCAAATGGAAATAAGGTCAATCTCAGACAACAGATTCGACTGAATGCATCTAACAATGCATTGAGGATCTACAAATTGAGACCATATTTAGATCTACATATGAAGAGCATTCAGTCAAATGTGCTATCTGAAAATGAACTTTTCTAGGATGATAAATTTCAAAAAGAAGGGAAGATAATGCCATTCTGCCTAAGCAGAATTGCCATCTATCAGGTCGTCCCATAAGTTCCGTCCGTTTAAACTTTCAATCGCAGAAAGTCATGAACTTCTTAGTTTTAGACAGGTTCCAAGGTACCGTTTGATAGAGCAAAACAAGCTCTACAAGATGAGCTTCTCACTTTCGCATCAGTTCAAATCCATCGCGAGTTTGAAGCCAAAAACCAAAAAAATCCAAAAGCCCAAAAAATAAAGAAAAAATCGTAACTCCGCTTAGAAAAATCCTGGAAAATTCCTAACTTGCTCACAGATACCCTATCCACATCAAACATTTATATATACTGTTGCTGTATTTCTTCCTTGAATAGAAATCGAGAAAACGAAAATTTTCATGTTTTTGCCAAAGTGATGCTGTGCTGTTCTCGCACTAGTAGTTGTATACTACAGACCAGTACAAGTACAGACACAAATTTTCAGCGCTCTACAGGCTTTAGTTCTCGAGAAACACTGAATTTAGCTTCGCACAGTCGGGTTCCCGTCTTAAAACGATTATTTCTTGAGAACTAAAGCCTGTAGAGCGCTGAAAATTTGTGTCTGTACTTGTACTGGTCTGTAGTATACAACCACTAGTGCGAGAACAGCACAGCATCACTTTGGCAAAAAGATGAAAATTTTCGTTTTCTCGATTTCTATTCAAGGAAAAAATACAGCAACAGTATATGTAAATGTTTGATGTGGATAGGGTATCTGTGAGCAAGTTAGGAATTTTCCAGGACTTTTCTAAGCGGAGTTACGATTTTTTCTTTATTTTTGGGCTTTTGGATTTTTTTGGTTTTTGGCTTCAAGCTCGCGATGGATTTGAACTGATGCGAAAATGAGAAGCTCATCTTGTAGAGCTTGTTTTGCTCTATCAAACGGTACCTTGGAACCTGTCTAAAACCAAGAAGTTTATGACTTTTTGCGATTGAAAGTTTAAACGGACGGAACTTATGGGACAACCTGATAGTTAAACGCCACATTTTAGGCTTGCTCTCTAAATTATATCCTGCCAAGTGGAAAAGCTGCATAGATTTTCTCACTGATGACGTCAGCCCCCCTTGCTAGACAAAACGAGTTTTCTCGGGCGAAATTCGCCAGACGCAAAAAAAGGCGTCGAGGGAAACTGGCGAAAACAAAGAGGGTGGACCGGAAATTACGATGAGCAGCCCCTGTTGAGAGGATGCTGAGGGTAACCTGAGGAGAGTGCAGGTTATGATGTATGCAAGTCAATAACGAATCCTGGAAACCAACTCCTCTGATCGAGACTGAGTTAAATCTTAAAAAATACGGTGACGGCAGAGGTCACTTTCCGAGAATTAGCCGTAGTGGCGAACATTTCCTTTTTTCACAACGTATTTTGGATTACGTATAAGACTAATTGCTCTGTTATAATATATCGAACATTTCTTGTTCCTTGACGCAAATAAAACGAGTTTCTGGTTTTGAACACTATAGCAACACAACAAAGATGAACGAAGTTGTCAATGTTGTCGTCAGCACATAAAGAGCGGAGAAAATGAGAGTTCTCCTAAAATAGCTACTTCATTTGCAGTACTCTGCACTATTAAATTCGAGGGTTACGCATTCGGGGGAAACTGGTAGAAGTAATGATTCTGCAGAACGTATATAAAAGATCTGGTGCTTAACTGACTGGATAAATATTTTTGAAAAGGGATTTCATTTGCAGGGTGCAATTTCCAAAAACTTTGTGATATTTAGATTTGCTGGCTTGAGTAAACACAACTAAATTGTTACAAGTCCCTCTTGCATTGTTTTCCAGCTCTGCTTTCGATAATTTAGGGGCACTGTGTTGCATATTCCCAGCAAAGTCATCACGTGCCTACGTAAGAGAAGAGTCAGGACGTCTAGTCGGCGTCAACATACGGCTTCGGACACAGAACACAGAAGCGGAAGTGAATAGCACAGCAGCAGCATAAATAAGTTGAGAACGGGAACGACTAGCCAAGCGTAATCACACCTCGGCCGGCAAAACTTTTCTGGGTGGGATAAAAAACTTTTTGAGACATAAACCTTCAATAAGAATTTGAAATATGTAACCTTCTCCAGATTTAGGATTCCGTTGGATATGAAATTTGTGAATTTAGAAGAAAATCCAATATTGTCCCGAACGTTTGTGCACCATTTTCGAAAACTTATAAAAAACGAACAAAAATAAAAGCAAGCACTGGAAATTCAGAAGTTATGAGTTCTTGGAAATGGCGCGAACGAACTTTCGGGGCCCTAATATATATATTTATATAGTATAAGAATGCGTATATTATCTACCATGAAATACATTCTATGATTTGATATGATTTTCTGGGCACTTTCCAATAAGAATTTTAGAATTTTTCGTGCACTTATGTCCTAACATGGTATTTATCCGCATATGAGTTACATTTCCGTAGAATACAAGAAGGTGAGGTATGAAAAGGGTAATCGAGTGAAAATGAAACCTTTCTAACGAGCAATTATGTGAGAAAGATAAGTAGAAAATCAAGTTGATGGCAACTACAGTTTATCCATCCATATTCGAAAATCCTTACTAAGTTTTGAACACGCAAATTCCTTATTTCATAGAAAACCTTCAAATAAAGGGATGGAGAAATTATCGCCACCTTCACTTCCCGTGAAACTAGATAGCAAACAGCACCAGGGTTCCAAAAAAAAATCATCAGCTTTCCGATGAAGCTAATCCCTTCAGATTATGCACATCATACATACACGTCATCTAACACACACTCAAGCTTGATTGCTATCTAATTTCGATAGTTGCCAGAAGTTCAAAAAAAAAATCCAAAGCTCTATACCCTAAGTAATTTTGAATGAAAAACCCTTTCAACTGTCACTTATTACTGAACATTTTGGTTGTGCCTTTTGAACATCATATTTGCATACCTTGCTCGTTATATACATTTTTTATTTATTCCAGATAGTGGAAAGAATGAGGAGTTTATGCGATATTATTATATTTCAGCAAACCAATTATGGAGCTCTACAGTCGTCAGTTGTGCTCACAAATTCTGTGGAATTTCCTCTAAGTTTATATTTATGACAGCATCAAAAAATTAGATATTTGAGAGCTTCAACCTCTTCCTTTCTGGAACGACCATTTACCAATCAAAATTTAGCAAAAAAAAAGACTGATTAACGTTTTTTTCCTTAATATTGTAGAGTTATTGTAGCGAAACGTACTTTTCCCGTAATTTAAAATGATTAAATCACGATTTGATGTTTCTGCACTTATTAAATGTTACAAAATAAATTGACCAGCTGGATTAACATTAGCGCTGACATTTCTATAAAAGCTTCTCAATTCTAACTATGTGGATTTTTCATCGAAACATTTCTGCAAAACCATTCCACAGCTAATCTCATGAAATCCTTTATGTACTCGTCTGCGAATTAATTCAAAAATGATGTCATGGGTGAGACATATCAGCCTTCATGCAAATGTGCTTGATGTTTTACTGGGTGAAAGAAAGAAATTTGTAATTAGCTATTTCCAGCATGCTCACATACAGTAAGCCTCATGCAATCTGCTGAGCTTCTTATTTCCAAAGGTTCACATCATTTCCGTTGTTTATTTATAGAAACAAATCCCATAAGAAGCTTGAGAATATTATTATTGAGTAGAAAGCGGAAAATCCTGTTGAGCTTTTTGGTCCTTGTGAACAAGCAAAACGAAAAAAGATGGGGATACACGTCAATCTAACAAGATTATCATTCTATTACCATTATTACAATATTTTTATTATCATTATCACAAATCATTATAAATTCATTCATTATTTTGAAACGTCGAAAATTAAATGTCGAATCACTTATTTATAGTAACTACCTGCGTTTCCAAATGACAGTTTGCCATCCCGCCCTGTTTCCGTAATAAAGTAAAAAAAAAACCATCACTCGCAAAAAATTTCTTATCTATATTGACGTACATTTCTATACATCATACCTGATTCTTTGGAAAAACCTTAGCCTCAGTGATGTCATAATATTCTAGTTTTTACATCAATTGCTATAACCCACAATCCATGACGAGTTCAAATAACTTCGCGCTAATCTTTTCGTTTTTTATATTTTTAGATGACGTGAGTAACATTCAGATTATTCAAGGTGCTCTTAGTCGTAGAGAACCACTAAAGAGCTATGAATAGAATAAGTGAAAAATGTAATCAAATCTGAAATCCATAATTACTGTAGAAAATGGGTATGGCTCAAACTGATGAATCAACTAAAATGATATGATATTACATGGTGACAAATTGAAGGTAACTTGAAACTGAAAAAGAGGAGCAGGTGAGAAATTTTAAAATTTTGAAGTGATTAAGCAGGAGTATTACGTAAGCGCTAACACCAAAGGCCAAATTATAGTTTCTACAAGTCCAAATTCGAGATCTTTTACTTCAAACATCTTTTACAGCTCTATTGGACTTACATGCGGTTTTCATAATTTAAGTGAAATTTGTAGTTTTGTAGGGTATATACGGCCAGAAAGGAAGAATTTGTTTCAATCAAGACTTTATTACTTTCTTTCTCCTTCCTGTTGTTTCGGTGAGCCCTTCTGTACTACAAAAATAATTTTGAAAAATGATGATTTCTTTCAGTTGCGCATCATATAGCGGCCATAGATGGACATCATGAACTCTTTGAGCCTTATCAAATTCTCATGAGAAAAATCTCGGAATATTTTGGAACCAATAGTAATTGCTGTTCCTCTAGGACCATGTTTTTTTGTTCAATAATTCCAATTCTGACATTCACCATAAATCTTTAGCATGACATTTAGCTAAGCAGCCTTTCATTGAAAACAAATAAAAGCCTTGCTTTCGAAGGAATTGCGTGTTTGTAAGTGTGTGACGTGCTCTGACGTCGCATTCGCAACACACACGTCTTTATCGTCTCAGATATCATGCATTTATCCAGAATACGCCGGAAAAAGTGATGGAAATTGCATGAATTTTATGACAAATGTGAATGACAGTGCAAATTCCATTTCTAGAAAGTATTTCACACCACGCTCTAGCATTTTCGAAAATGGACAGAGAAATCGCGGTTCTATGGCTCGTCATGAAAAAGCTTTTCACATTCAGCTTTTTAGCTTTTATACTAGTCAAGCCAATTGAATAGGTCGACGGAAAAACGGAA